ACCTTGAAGTACATGTCCCTGGAGTGTGGCCTCTCGGGACCCTTAAGACCTGGGATGCACATATGTAGCCCTCTCTTCACTCCCTCATGGTTTGGATGCAGAGACGGACCAGGCAGATCTTGGACTAGGAAGAAGATCAGTGTAGACCATAGTTCGGTTTTTCAGGCTATAGTGAGTTTTATCTTCTAATAAATTCCTTTGCTTGTTATATGGACTCCGCAGACTTCAAGCAATATTGGGGCATACTCATGCTCCATGTATATGCACATGGATGGGTATGGAGGCCTGAAGATGACATTGAACAGTAACCGTAACCCAAACTCCCTCTGGAGAGTTCTCTGATTGCTTGGTTCAGAGGTGGGCCATCAAGTGTGAGAGCTCAGTTGCTTTTCTCCCTAGGGAAGAAAGAGGAGCAAAGTGTGTCAGCTCTGAGCTGCAGAGAGCCTGGCACCTGTCAGCAGGAAGAAGGTAGGGGCTGAGCACCGGAAATGGACTGAGGGGACCAGACGACAAGGGAACAGGAAGCCCCAGGATCGTGTGTGTGTGTGTGTGTGTGTGTGTGTGTGTGTGTGTGTGTGTGTGTGTGTGTGTGTCTGGCCTCAAAGCCTGGCAGGACTCTGAGTCTGAGTCTTCTGATAGCAATCAGGAGCTCTGAAGGAAGGAGGTCTGGAGGGTAGAGGGTCAGGTGACCTGGCTCAGTCTTGGAGGAATCCAAGCTGAGCCCCAGAAGTCATTAGGGATTGCATCTTGTCCTCTTCAGTGCTGAGATGTGAATGGAGAAATGAATTTGAGAGAAGCAAGGGATGTGGTCCCATCTGTGCTTTGGGAAAGTTGCCCTAATTTCACACCCAGCCTCCGCTTCCCAAAAGCTACATGCAAAGGGGCCAGGGTAGGGATGGAGGTACAGCATTAGTGAGAGGAGCCCCGTAAACCTGGTAAAGACCTGTGGAGTACTGTGAAAAGGAGGACTGGAGTCGAGGCTGGATCCCTGCTAGAGGGCCTGGATCCTGGAGCAGCAGGAGTTTGGGCCAGGAAGAAAGCAATGGGTCAGTCAGGGCCGGGGGAGGGGAGGGACATGATGACAGGGCACTGAAGCCAGTCAGCCTCTCTGAAGGCCCTGGGCTTGCTATAGATGGACCCAGTTCTCCTATGGCCCGGCAGGCTGATACCTCAAATTGCTCCCTCTGTCTTACTTTCACAGTAAAATCTTTGTCTCCGTTGGAAAGGGAAAGCTGAAGGAGGCCCAGTGACCGTGATGGGGAGATGGGGATGAGGTGGGGCTTCACATGGCTGCTTGATTGGTTCAGGTGTCAGTAGTGTTGAGAAGACAGCCCAGCACTACAGTCAGCAGCCCCAGTAGTTCTCTGTGCCCCCAGGACCCTCCTTCCTTGATTATGTTGTTGAAAAGCTAGAGCTGAAGATTAGGGAGAGCATATGCTTTAAAGTAAAGAATGAGGAAGAGAGAATGTGGTGTCTTTACATTGCTTAGGTGTCTTTACAATGGTTTTTTATATGGTCCTGTGGTTGGAGGTTTGAATGATTGACATGCCCCTCCCACCCCATGGACTCATATTTGAATGCTCAGTCCCCAGTTGGTGGAACTGTTTGGGAAGGATTAGGAGGTATGGCCTTGTTGGAGGTGTGTCACTGGGGGCAGGGGGAACTTTCAGGTTTAAATTGTCCACATCATCCTGAGATAGCTCTCTCTCTTTCTCTGCCTTGTACTTGTGGATCAGGTGCAAGCTCTCAGCTACTTCTTCAGGGTCATGCCTATGTGTCTGCTTTCTACCATGCTCCCCACCATGGTAATCCTGGACTCTAATCCTCTGGAATGGTAAGCCCCAAGTTAAATGTTTGTTTTTGTTTTAATAAGTTGCCTTGATCATAGTGTTTTGTCACAACAATAGAAAAGTAACTAGGACACTGTGGCTTTTAAAGCTACTTCCCCAAGGCTATAATTTACATCAAAGCATAAAGCTTGAAATTTAAGTATGGTTTAAGAAGCAATTAAAAAATACATGATCTGGCCGGGTGGTGGTGGCGCACGCCTTTAATCCCAGCACTCGGGAGGCAGAGCCAGGCGGATCTCTGTGAGTTCGAGGCCAGCCTGGGCTACCGAGTGAGTTCCAGGAAAAGGCGCAAAGCTACACAGAGAAACCCTGTCTCGAAAAAAAAAAAAAAAAAAACCAAAAAAAAAAAAAAATACATGATCTGAGAGTTGGAGAGATGGCACAATGGTTAAGAGGTCTCACTGATCTTTCAGAGAACCTGAGTTCAGGTCCCAGTAGCCACTGAAGGCTCATAACTGTCTGCAACTCTAGCTCTACATGATCCAATACTCTCTTCTGACCTCCACAGGCACCTGAACTCATATCCCCATGAGATGATCCAGCCTCACAGACTACTCTAACCAGGACTTGAGACAAGCCCTGCACTTTCCCATTATGCAGAGGCTGGACAACGAATGATACAACTACCTCTCCCAGGACTTGACAATTAACCCAAATTTTTCTTTTCAAGATCCCCTAAAGATGCCATCACCCCCCAAATGCCAGGAAGTAAATTTAAGAACGTGATGTCCACATTTCCAAGAGGTGGGTGGGTTGTTTTTGGCCTTTCAATAGGTTATGGATATTTGTCATAATTTAGGGTGGTTGGTTACAAATTGTTATTGGTAATGGTCAGGAAAAAAGCTGAACAAAGGAGTTTAGATTCAGTGTTCTTATTTTGAAAACAGAGAAAAAGGGAATAGAGAAATGATAGGATAAAGGGTAGATTATTGAATCTACTCTGAAAAGAAAAAGGAAGATATAGAAATAGGATAAAAAGGTAGATTATTGAATCTACTTTTAAAAAGCAGCTACTAGTTTTAAATATTTTATGTTGATATGGATCTTTGTGTACTGATACAAATTTGAGATTATTTTTGTTAGAACATACTGTATATACATTTCTAATCTTGTTCAAGGTATTGTACCTATACATCTCATTTGACAATGTAATAAAAATTGCTAGTCCTTGAAAGTTATTATTACAAACTAATTAGGATATAAGGAAATGCAAGTTACTAGTTAGTCATTACAATCAAACTTGTAGTCATATTAGGTATGTTTTCAAGGTCAAACAGACATACTTTAGATAGACAGGTTGTCTTCAAACACTTCAGAGATCTACAGAATAAGGCATTTAAGATGCTTAATAACATAAGTTCTTTTTTTTTTTGACAATGAGAGACGTCTGCTCCTGGCAACACCAATCTACTTCAGAGAAGATGATGGGCATCAAAGAAACCCCATCTAAAGTTTACTTTCTTTGTGGCAAAAGTTACCCACAGGGCAAGAAAGTGCCCTTGCCTCAACTGCTGACAGTATGCTGTCCAAAATGGCTGTGGCTTGCTCTTTTGTCCATCTGATCTTTCAGCATTTACCTCTATATCTGACTCCAGGTTTTTATTATTAAGATTAATTAGAATTCGTGCTATATAGTCTCTTTCTCTCACTCACACACATACACATAATTCACAATAATGTAACAATTATATATATATGTATGTATGCATGAAAATGAGCTGGGATTTTTTATTTTGTTTTTTGTCTTAATGAATTGCCTTTGGTAAATGAAATTGTGAGATGCCATTAGTAGGTGCATTTCTTAGATTTGAGAAAGTAATGCCTAAGAGCTTGGACCCTCACAGCCCTAATAAGGAAGGCTCAGCCACCCATTCTCAATAAGCTAATTAAAGAGGCAGGTAACAGTGAAGAGCAGAACAAGGAGATTTATTCAGTGCAGCTCCACTGTCAAAGAGGAACAAGAGGCCCAGTGATGCCCTAATATATTATATAAATATAAACCTGACCAGAGGCTTAGGTTTAGAGGCCAAGAGGCATGCATAACTAATCAGTTTGGGTCAGAGAGGTCACTCACTGGTTCCCCATGGTGAACTTCGGTGGAATCATACTTCAGGCTTGTTCTTGGGACTTTATGAGAAGAGGGCAGACATTGTTTATATCTCCCCGGGTGTGGAATTTTCACAATAACCTACTGGGAGAACACTGGTCCAGATCCAGAAACAGGAGGAGGGAACATGAAAACAGGGGACACCAAAGGCATGGTTATTCTACATTCACCTACTGGCACCTGGCCCCAGGAAACCCCAGGATCCCTGTTTTAGGATTTACGGATGTAGTCTTGCACAGGTTATTTTAATTGTCATGTTTTTTCCCTAACAGCAAAGCATGGCAAAGTTAACTGTGCTGCAGTAGTAACGCTAAGTAAATGATGGTTTCCTAAATACAGTGTCACCGCCTCAGCGTTCACTAAGCAGAAAGCGAGACTGTAAGATGAATGTAATCATCTCCCCCGTGTTTGAAGCAATAGAATGGTTGATGCTGATAAGGCAGGAGAAACAACCTCTGCTTATATTTGAGGTGATGCAGAAACTGCAGAGGAAGAGTTCTAATTTAAAAATGTAAAGCTCTTAGCTCTAAGCAAGACACGGTGTTGCCCGTGTTTAATTTCTGGAGAGGGAGCCTATACACTATAAAAGTGGTTTTTTACAGGTCTCCTTGCTTGTTTGTGTTCCCCGGCGCAGAAAAGCTGAGCCGCTCTGTCCCGCCCACCGGAGGCGGGTCCCCGCCCACCAGCCCCGCCCCGTCCGCCTTCCTGACCTCGTCTAAGGCGGGACTCCAGCCTCGCTGGCGAACCTCGCATCTTGGCCCCGCCTTCCTATCCGGCTCCGCCCCACCCGCCCTTCCGCCGCCTGGCCTCCACCTCCGGCTCCGCCCCCTCCCGTGTCACCCTTCCCATTGGTCTCTCGCTGCGCCGTCTGGTCCAATCGCAGCACTTAGCGCCAGAATTTGAACCGCCGTTTTCGTTTGAATCGGGCGGGCGCGGCGGGCAGCCTTGGCGCGGAACTGCCTTGGGAGGCACTCTGCGACGCGGGCGGCGGGCGGAGGGCGGCGGGCGGCGGGCGGCGGGCGTCTGGGACGCGGGCGGCGGGTGTGCGGGTCGGGGCGGAGCCAAGGACGCGGGTGGCCGTGGTCAGATCGCCGCGGCCGAGGAGCCGACGACTCTGACGCGGACTGGACCGGGTGAGCCGCGGCCAAGGCTGACCAGCGAGGACTGGCGAAGGGGCACGGCGAGCTTCACCGGGAGGCCACTCCGCCCTCGGCCGCAGTCACTGACGGCCGGGCGGACCATGGCGTCCTCGGCTCGCCTGGTCACCATCAAGCGGAGCGGCGACGACGGCGCGCACTTCCCGCTGAGCCTCAGCTCCTGCCTGTTCGGAAGGTGAGCGCGCGCGCGCGCGCGGAGGGACCGGGGTGACCCCGGGCCGTGGCCCTGCCGCCCTTGGCGCTTGGCGGGGCTGTCCCTGTAAGACGTTCGGAAGTCATGCTCCGGTGCTGGGAGCTTCCCGGATGGAACCGGGATTTTACACTTGGTAGGCGCCAAGCTGACTTCAGTGTCACGCCGCTCCTGCACTGTGGCTCTGAGGCAGCCGGCTGTGGCTCCAGATATTCTGGAAACATGAAGATAGGAGAGCCCTGTGGGGGTGCCCTAGGAGAATTCCCCAGTTCTCTTCCTCCGTGGGTCGGATAATAACCCTCCTCCCTGAGGCCTTCTAGGCGGTTGCTTGGCGTTGCCGCTTTTGCCCAGTTAGACCCCTTATGGCCCTTTCTGCCGATTTTAAAATGTTACCCGAGAAGGTGCTTTTAAAGAAAGCTCGTCTTTCCTAACACCGTGCAGGTTGGTGACTGGTTTTTAGATTTTTTGTTTGTCTGTTTCCCAATAGACTAAGCTCGAAGGCAAGGGCTGCCTTGTTAATGATTACATCCCCAGCGTCCCATATGGTGCCTGATACTTAAGATCTCAGTGGGTGTGTGACCTAGGGTGAGCGTCCAGCAGGAAGAGGGAGATTTGGATTTGGGGGGTCAGTCGAGGATGATAGTTCTCAGGGAGACATTTGGCAAAGTCTGGTGACATCTTATCATGTCACCCTGGGAGAGGTGTCTGTAGCAAGTATCACTGAGTGAGCAGAGAGACGTGGTGTGTTTGACAGTGAACAGGGCCTTGCGGAATTCTCTGGTCCAGAATGTCTGTGGCATTTAGGTTAAGAAGTATGGACGGTAGTGGTCTTTTCTGCCCAGTAAAACGGAGTTCTAAGATAGCGTCTCTGTCTGGTGTGATTCCCAAAGCCTACATTTTCTTGAGAGTAAGGATGCTGTCACTTTCCGTAGCTTTTTGTTGTTATTGTTGTTCAAAAGAAAAGCTATTCTTGTCACAAATGTCATTCATTTTCAATATTCTGCAATATTAATTAAATATACTTTTTGCAAGTTTCAAAAAAGTTGAAAACAATTCATGTTTGGTTGTGTGGTATTTTTAGGAAGTGATATGCTTAAACAGCTGAGCAGCAATTCTTAACCTGTGGGTTGCGACCCCCACCCAAAAGACAATCAGAAAACACGGATATTTACATTATGATTCATAACAGTAGCAAAATTAATTATGAAGTAGCAGCGAAAATAGTTTTATGGTTGCGGGGGGGGGGGGTCACCACAACATGAGGAACTGTATTAAAGTGTCACAAGATTAGGAAGGTTGAGAACCACTGCTGTAGAGGTTCACAGGAAAACAGACAGTATGTATTTTCAGGCCTTTAAAGTTCAGAATGGATGCTATCGGGGAAACTCCTGGTTTGTGGATGGGTTCGGAACCGTCCTTGCTGTACTGTGCTACCACAATGCTGCTTTCTAGAAAGACAGTTCTAAACTAGATACTGTTTTTCATTGCCTGGTATAATGTGAGGATATTTGAATCTGTCAACATGCTGTGGTTTTGAAACAATAGTGAAAAACTCACATGGATATACTGTGTGCCATATACGCAAGTGACACACACAACTCTAACTGAATAGCATCATGGGTGTTGGTATAGACCTGTGTATGAAGAAACTGAGGCACTGATTACCTACAGCACATTTTATGCTAGTACCTTTCTGTGTCCTTAAATACTTACATTGTTGTAAACACATTAATTATAAAGTTCTCCTAAACTGGTAATAAAGTGCTCCATTATTTGTGTCTTTTTTTTTTTTTTTTTTTTTGCTTTTGCTTGTTTGAGATAGGGTTTCTATGTGTAGACTAGGCTGGCCTTGAACTCACAGAGATCCTCCTGCTTTTGTCTCTCTAGTGCTTTAATCTCTCTAGAGATTAAAGGTGTGTGCCACCACTGTCTGGCTATAGTATAACTATTTATATGAAAGGTAATTGATTATGTATTCTAGTGCTTTTTAATATAATTATTCTGAAGTACTAGAAGTTTTAATAATTTATGGCTTCTTAGGCAGTACTGTGTTATTGTGTCATTACACTTAGAGTCTAAGCGTATTACTCAAATTCTGTTTGTTTAAATTTGAGGTGTTTTTTTTTTAAGTTGCACACCCCCATAAAAACCCTTACCACTTTTTTTTATTATTATTAAGGAGTATTGAATGTGACATTCGTATCCAACTGCCTGTAGTGTCCAAAAAACATTGCAAAATTGAAGTCAATGGGCAAGAGGTAAGTGGGTTTTGGAAATCAACTTTTAAAGCTTTTAAATTTGATTTTAAGCAAATCCTTAGTATTTTCTTCTCCTCTCCACTCGCAGGCAATATTGTATAATTTCAGTTCCACAAATCCAACGCAAGTGAATGGGGCTACTATAGATGAGCCTGTGCAGCTGAAACATGGAGATATAATAACAATCATTGACCGGTCTTTTAGGTAGGCCAAAACTAATTCTAAATACTGTGCTCTTTTAAACCATGAACTAGTACCACAGTTCAACTGTGATCCTTTGGTGCTGATGGGTGTTGGAAGGGATGAGTGTGTGTGTGTGTGTGTGTGTGTGTGTGTGTGTGTGTGTGTGTGTGTGTACAGATGCTTGCACCTGTGCTTATGGAGAATAAAGGACAACCTCAGGTGCGGTCCTCAGGATATGGGTCGCCCTTTTTTTTTAACTGGCCTGTGATTCACCAAGTAGGCCAGACTGGCTAGACAGCCAAGCCCAAGGGCCCTCCTGTCTTTGCTTTCCCAGTGTTGATGATACATCTTCAAATTCCCAGCTCTTCGGCCTTTAAAGAACAGTTATGTTAAACTGAGGCAATTGGGCTGGGTTCTAACCCATGACTGGTGTCTTTATAATAAGAAAAGATTAGCACACAGAGATCCCAGGGGAGCAAGTGCACAGAGGGGAAGCACAGAGGTGAAGAGGCAGAAAGAGTGCTGCTGGTCAAGGAGGCCCAGAGGAAGCCATTCCTGCAGACACCTTGGACTTGGACTTCCAGGCAGAACTGTGAGCAGCACATTTCTGTCACTTAAGGCACTCTATGTTGTAATTATGGCAATCCTAGCAGACTAATACACTACCACCAAGTCACAAGGGTAATTTCTACAAGTTTCTTTTGTGCTGTCTTTAATCACTACTTCTTTCTCTTACTAAGCCACCATGGTGGCTGTAAGAGAGGAGTATCTTTGGGGTCTTGTTACCTGTTGGTGGGCCTCTAAACACTGTAGTTAGCATAAAACTCTGTGTTTGTGCCTGACTGATGCTCTTGTGTGTGTGATTTATAGCATGTTGGGTGCCTTTGGCTTATTTCTTCTCACAATATAGGTATTTCATTAACATTCACAATATACACAGTAATATGTAAGAGCATTCATAGTTTATTTGTTCTTGATGGGCATTTGAATGATTTCCACTTGAAATTTGTCAAGGCTTTCTTTGTGATCAAATGTCCCCCCATTTCCTGTATTTGAAAATGGTATTCGGCAACTACTGAATGCACCATTCTAACTGTATATCTGTTAAATTCTCTATTATTAGTAATCATTTTAATATTTCCCTGCTTAATAGTTTGAGATATATTAAAATCATCCACTGAGGACTTGTTTATTTTTCTTTAATTAATTTCTTTAACACTTTCTGTTTTATATTTTTTGATGTTATACCGGGCATATGGTTGTGGACTCCTCCTGGGCATAATTCTAAATTATGCACAGAATTCTTTGTCATTATAAATATCTCCTATTTTTAGTCACATCTTTTGCCTTAGTGATTCTTTGGGTGATAAATATAAATACACTCAATTCCTTTTGATTAGTGCTCACATAGCACAACTTTTCTACCCCCTTAATTTCAACTCTATAATTCTTTTTTTTTTTTTTTTTTTTTTTTTTTTTTTTTTTTTTTTTTTTTTTTTTTTTTTTTTGGTCTTTCGAGACAGGGTTTCTCTGTGTAGCTTTGCGCCTTTCCTGGAACTCACTTGGTAGCCCAGGCTGGCCTCGAACCCACAGAGATCCGCCTGGCTCTGCCTCCCGAGTGCTGGGATTAAAGGCGTGCGCCACCACCGCCCGGCCATCAACTCTATAATTCTTATGGCTTTTGTTGTCTCTGGGAACCTGCTGTTGAGTGACTTGTCTTTAAATAGACTATTTTCTTTTTTTTGGGAGGGGGGTTTGAGACAGGGTTTCTCTGTGTAGCTTTGCACCTTTCCTGGAACTCGCTCTGTAGCCCAGGCTGACCTCGAACTCACAGAGATCTGCCTGCCTCTGCCTCCCGAGTGCTGGGACCAAGGGCGTGTGCCACCACTGCCTGGCTAAATAAACTATTTTCTTAGATCCAATATCTTGATGGATTTACCCTTAAGTCCTTATAAAATATCCTTTGTCTCTATGAACAATTTGAAGGGACATTTTTATTGATTTGACTCTTTAAAAGAGGCTTGGTTCAACACTGTGATAGCTTGGAGGAAGGTTCCAGATGCTAGCTGTCTTAGATCTTACATAGACAGCATCTAAATTCAAATTAGGCTACTTCACTGAGGTACCAAAGTTTCGTTATACACAGTAAAGGATTTCAGCTGTGAATTGATCACCAAGATCTGTCATGATTCTAGTGCCATCTTCCTAAGATGTGCCTTTCCTCCAGAGAGACTGAAAAACTAGGGATCATAATTCTAGAACGTAGCTCTGTAGTTAGATTTACGTTTAAGTTTTTAGTATAAAAATTTTCCTAACTAAACCAATTTCTTTGTGTAAGGTAATATTATGAACAAAGCCTAAAGTTTGTCCCAGGGTTTATATCTATAACCTATGAACCTGGAGGTTCAAATCCTACACCTGATTCTCTGTGTACTCTAGGTATGAAAATGGAAATCATGAGGATGGAAGCAGCTCAACGGGATTTCCAGGAAAATCACCTGGACAAGTGAGGGGAAATACTCAGGTTTGACTGGTTCTTTATCATGATGGGAACTATTTATATGTTTTAACAAGTCATTTGTTACTTTTAAATTGGTGGCCAAGAACGGCTTTCTGATTATTGCAGAAATATATAAGTAACAAAATAAGGAAATAAGTTGACCATGAACATAGTAAAAATAACTAAAACTCTATTTCTTTTTGGTATTCAAAAACAGAGTGCTAACTTTGTCTTACACTCTACTAGACTGTGTTGTGATCTTACAAGGTTAGAATAGTCTGAATACATAGAAACTGAATGAAAAAAAGATATAAAACAGGAAGAATATGACTGCTCCTAGGTATGGTGGAGGAGGAGGTTTATTGTAGATTTGAGAGCGTAGGCAGAGACAGAGACATCTGGGAGAGTCCAGAGTGAACATGGCCCAGAACAGGGCCATATGAGGAGAAGTGGGGTTGGGGAGAAGAGTCTCCTACCAAAAAGGGGTGGCTTGGGCCAAGAGACTGGCATAGCTAAAATGGTTGAGTTATATAAGGGCCAGAGGAACTTGAGGAGGGCATTCGAGCCCGTGAGCTAGAGAAGTTTAGGTTAGTGGATGGAGTATGCCAGCCAAGAGGACCCTATAACAGGTAGAGAGTAAGGAATGCTGGGAGAACCTGGTGGCCAGCATCCACTTTGATGGGCATCTCAGTTAGCCATTTGTCCCAGATTTGAGACCTAACAGAAGTAAAAGAGACATCTCATGAGTCATTTTGTCCCCTACTCAATTGTGGCTGTCCATCACTGTGTGTCTAAATAATTACATTGTGAAAACTGAGTGCTGAAGAAGCTTCCTAGTTTAGAAGAAAGTGAGTCTAGTGCTTGTCATGTGAAGGAATTCTGTCACTTGAGAATATCAGCAAGATAACTGCCATTGCTATCATTTACTAAAGCACAATTGTGGACACATGATTAGAGGCTTAGTGGGACTCAGTAACGTTAGGGTAAATCTTGAGAATCTCTGTCTCTCCTTTTAGAATGCTAGTCAAATTGCTACCATGAATTAGCTGCAGTTCCTTGGATTAGGAGCCTTAGAGTTTGCCTGCATTTAGCAACAGACACTTTTCCTTCAAGATCTCTGTCATGTTAAATACTGCTTCTTCCTTAGAAGAACCCAATACTCATCAACCCTTGGTGGAAGCTATTTTTGAGGTATCCCACCACACACCAGCCACCTTTCAACTTGTTAATAAGTGTAAGAAAATAAAATTATTGGTAATTGTAGATCTATGGGATAGACAAGTACCACTCAATGATTGATGAACTGTTTGTTTACTAGTCTGTTAAGTGTTAAAATTCAATACATATAATGTCATAGTAATATATTAGGAATTTCATGCCTGTTTAATATAAACATTAAAATTACAGGATTTGGAAGATAGGTCTGTGTAAAATGCTTTTTCTGAAAACATATATACCTGAGGTTTGATAATCTAGAACCTTGGTTAAAAAAAAAAAATCTGGATGTCTACCATGTACCTGTAATCCCCATCACTGAGAAAGCAGAGATAGGAGGATTCCTGGTGTTGGGTGGCCAGCTAGTCTAGCTAAATTGTTGAGGTTCTAGGTGAAGTTTGTACCTTGTCCCAAGAAATAAGGTAGTGAGCAGTTGAGAAAAACACCCAATATCAACTCTGTTCATAGCATATACAAATATATATTCTTCACCTCCAAAACTATTCCATACTGCAGAATGTGTAGGGACTGTCTATTGGTTTAGAAAGAGGATTGGATTTGCTATTCAGGCTCTGAAGTTGTAATACTCATGGATGTGCTGCTCTTCTGTGTGACTTAACTTCCCGACTCTTGATACACAGCAGATACCTGCTAGGGATAAGAGCACAGATACCAGTGGAACTGCAATTTAGCACACCCTGAGTGCATTTCTGTGAAACTTACGGTATCTATAGTTTTATGCCTGTGGTGACTTAGCAGATGGGGGAACTTAATTTTAACTTTGTTTCTCCTTTCATGTGATGTTGTAAGACAAAGAAGTTCTAGAAAATGTACTGGGGGGCTGGTAGGGGAGAAGTGGCTTGCAGGTTAAGAGTTTTCTCTGTTCTTCCAGAGGACCCAAGTTCAGTGTCTGGCCTCCACATTGGGCAACTCACAACCACCTGTAACTCCAACTATTATAGGGTCCAATATTCTGTTCTGGCCCCCACAGGTACCCACACAAATGTGCCTAGACATACACACATACACATAAATATAAAAGTAAACCTTAAAAAAAAAAAAGCTCTTAAGTCAGCTAAGAAATGCTTAGGTCATGGCCACTAACTTTCAAGTCACTTGCATCTGTTTCTCAAGTCTCTAAATGTCATAAAGAAGAAGCATTTTGGCAAAGAATATAATTAATGAAAAGAATATTTTCATTGTTTCACAATGACCACACTAAGAAAGGCACTTAAATTCCTCTTCTTATTTTTCCAATTTGTAGGAACCAGCACGGCGAGCTTCGAGAGCTAGCTTCTCTGTTGACCCTGGTTGGTATTGGTTGGGTTCTGTTCTGGGACTGTCAGCATAAGACTACTATGACAATGGCAAGGGTGGGATCATGGGTACACAGGCATGAAATTCCTGGTCTCCCAAACTCTTAAGAGCCTGGTGCCATTTAACATGCCAAACTAGAGCAGAGAGCTGGGTAACTTCTTCCCTAGTACTTGCTGTTTTAGTGTCCATTTAATCTTGAGTTGTCTAGTGGGATATGTTAACATCACTGGTTATTCAAAGCTAATGTATTTATCTGGATGGAAACAGCATTATAAGACAAGTGTAAGGAATTAAGTAATTTGTGGACTAAATGAAAAACTAGGTTATAAGGCAATTTAAAATAAGGTACCGGATTCCAAAAATGTTAGTCATTGAGAAAATGTTGAACTTCTGTTTCTTATTTCATATTTATTGCCAAGATGGGAAAGGTCAAGATGCCAAAGCTTCGAAAACCACTGCTTCAAGAAGATCTTTGGTACACACCAAGAGGCTCTCTGGAGACAGTTCAGTCTCAGATGGCTCAAAGGACAGTGTTACCCAAGATCCATCCAATACCTGTTCTTCAGGGCATGTAGAACAGCACAGTGGCAGAAGCACAGGAGAGCCCACATCGGGTGGTCTCTTTAAGAAGTCCGGGGCTACAGGGAGTAGTTACAGGGAACTGAAGTCTTCTCCTGCACAGAGCCTTAGCAACAGCAAGAAAAATGACTCTCCCTTTGAGAAACTTTATCAGTCGATGAAGGAAGAGTTGGATATAAAATCACAGAAACAGTCTCATAGAAAGTCAGAACCACATCGTGAATGTGTAGCAGGCAAAGATACATGGGAAACAAAGCTATTGGTGTCATGCAAGTCAAGACCAAAATCCAGTGGAAGCACACCTGGGACTGCAGCCTCTTCACCCAAAGGAGACAAGATCGGGGCTGAGACACAGAGCAATGGTGTGCGGCCTGTTGAGACTTCTGCAGAGGCTCTGAACCCCAGCTTTCCTCTCTCTGAGACAGCTAAGATGAAGACCCCTGTGCGAAATTCACAGCTGCTTAAGAACGAAGACTTGCATGTTACTGGCAGGAGAGAGTCTGTGAATCTGGGTGAAAGTGAAGGTGCCAAGGCAGGTCATAGGATAGTCACTCCTAGGAAGATGGGATCTAGAAATCAAACTTCAGTGAAAGTTGAAGATGCTGCCAGCCCTGCTGATACACCAGAAAATCTCTCTTCCAAAAAGAGGAGGAGTATTCCTGCAAAGGTAGAAGTGCTGTCTGCTGAAACACAAAACCGGTTCTCTTCAACTCAGCACCTTGCTCCAAGTGAAAAGAAAACTCCGAAGGATTCCTTCAGCAAGCCTGAGAAATTGGCCACTGCAGCTGAGCAGATTTGCTCTGGGCTACCTGGTCTTAGTTCTGTTGATATCAGCAACTTTGGTGACTCCATTAGTAAGTTGTTTAACTGTAGATTTACTTTCCCTAATAGGTTAATATCTACCCTATGTATTATGAGCTAACAAGGTGTTCATTCAGTGTATGGGTACAGAAGACTTTGCCTTTTATAAGTAATAACAAAGGAGGTGTAGCTAGTTTAGGAGGGAACCACATCACAGGACTGACTTCAGGAAAAATGTGATTTTCTTTTACAATCATAATGGCTTTTCACTTACCGCCTGGTTCTGAATACCAGTTGTATTTTGTGAGGTTGGTCCTTGGGAATAAACCATGGACAGTCCTTTGAGCATCACTGAACATAGTGACCCTTGGGTGTTCACACTCTTTTCTCAGTCTCTTATAAGCACTTTATTATAGACACTGGAATGGACTCAGGTTTCTACACCAGCAAAGTTCTGTGTGTTTCCAAGGCATTAACGTTTTGTTTTTAAATTTTTATTACATTACTTATTTGTATATATGGGGAAAGGGAGTGTTGTTGGGGTTTTTTTTTGGCTCTTTGGGGGGCCCACCACCCAGCTCCCAAATAAATCACACACTGAGGCTTATACTTAATTACGAATGCCTGGCCTTAGCTTGACTTAGTTTCTAGCTAGCTTTCCTTATCTTAAATTATCCCGTCTACCTTTTGCCTGTTCTCTAACTTTGGTAAATCTCACTTTTTTTTTTTTTTTGGTTTTTCGAGACAGGGTTTCTCTGTGTAGCTTTGCGCCTTTCCTGGAACTCGCTTTGGAGACCAGGCTGGCCTCGAACTCACAAAGATCCGCCTGCCTTTGCCTCCCGAGTGGTGGGATTAAAGGCGTGCGCCACCACCACCCGGTAAATCTCACGTTTACTCCCTGGCTTGCTGTGCAGCTGGGTGGCTGGCCCCCGGAGTCCTCTTCCTCCTCTGGCTCCTAGATCTTAGCTCTCTCCTCCCAGTTTTCTTCTTCTATATATATTCTCTGCCTGCCAGCCCCATCTATCCTTTCTCCTGCCTTGCTATTGGCCAGTTCTGTATTAAACCATCAGGTGTTTTACACAGGCACAATAACACAGCTTCACAATGTAGCTGGAAGTTTTCCTGTGTCCCGCCCAGTCCTGCAGCCACTCAGACCCAAATAAACACACAGAGGCTTATGTCAGTTATGAATCACATGGTTATGGCCTATGGCTCAATTTTCTTGCTAGCTAGCTCTTATAACTAAACTCAGCCCATTTATATTAATCTATGTTACCACATGTTCTGTGGCTTTACCTGTGTGCCATTTTATGCTGCTCCCGGGAAGGCAGGCTGGCGTCTTTCTGCCTCTCCTTTTTCTTTTATCCTGGATTTTCCTGCCTGGCTCCATCCTGCCCTGCCATAGGCCAATGCAGCTTTATTTATCAACCAATCAGAGCAACACATATTCACAGCATACAGAAAGACCATCCCACAGCACTTCCCTTTTTCTGTCTAAACAAAAAGGAAGGTTTTAACTTTAACCTAATAAAATTACATATAACAAAACAGTTATCAAGCAAGAATACAGTTACAATATCTAATGTATTAATATTTGGCAAATTCAAAGAAAATATTCTATTTATACTATATTTGTGAGTCTAAGGTTTCATATCTAACTTATCTTTTATCATAACCAAGGAAAATTATAACTATTTGGTCTTCAACTACATCAAAGATCCCAGAAGGATATAATATTGCCTAAGTAAACAGGAAGTGCATTGTAAGCAACTTCCAACAATTCTGGAAATGACAGAGACAGCTGCCTGCCTGGACAGTCATTCAAAATTCCTCTGTAACATTGGGGGCATCCATCTTTAGCCAATAGACCTTGAGTTTTTTAGTTGCTTCTCCATGTGTCCTATAGAATATTTGACAGTCTCCTCTGAAGCAGGAACCTGAAGAACTATTTTGCCTTGCAAAGTTCACTGGTCATTTTCCTATGGGTCCTGCATGTCCAGTTTATATAGTATATTATCAGCAGTCCAGTCAAGAGCAGTTTCTTGCCCATATGGCTATTTTTGCAAAGAAGATAAACTCCATATAGAGTATCTTCGATGCCCATCTTTCTCTTTGAAGTAAATCGGTGCTGCCAGGAGCAAACATGTTTCACTGTCGAGAAAGTCTTAAGTTTTTAAAACATTTTAAATGCCATATTCTCTAGGTCTTTGAAGTATTTGAAGATTATATCTATGTATACCTAAAAAAACTTAACTAACATGGCTATAAGTTTGACTATCATAGAAAAATAATTAATCTGTATTTCTTAATTATCTATTATAATTTAAATGAGTTACATAAACATAATACCTTAAACGAGAGTAGAAGTATATATACAGTATAACAAAATTAACTTTAAATTTGTATTAATAAACCAAAATCCATAGCAATATAAAACATTTTAAACAAGTTGTTGTTCTTTATCCTATCATATCTATATTCCCTTTTCTTTAGAAAGAGATTGCATTTACAAACAATATTTTGGGAATTTGGGCATAGCTTCTCATACTACTTCCTGCTGGTTGAGGGTGCTGGCAATCTTATGGGGATCCTGAGACAATTAAGAATTATGGTCATAGCTGGGCGGTGGTGGCGCACGCCTTTAATCCCAGCACTCAGGAGGCAGAGCCAGGCGGATCTCTGTGAGTCTGAGGCCAGCCTGGTCTCCAAAACGAGTTCCAGGAAAGGCGCAAAGCTACACAGAGAAACCCTGTCTCGAAAAACCAAAAAAAAAAAAAAAAAAAAAGAATTATGGTCAAGTCCTGACTGGAATAGTCTATGAGGATGCATTGTCTGAGCCAGTTCCCTTGAAACTGTTTTTGGATGTTGGATCATCTGGGCCATGGTGTCATTGGAGATCTTTCAGGGGGTTTTGGCTGACCAAAACATATTAGCCTGGAAGCAATCCACAGGTTCTCATCTTCTGTGGAAACAAAAACAGAACCTTTTTTCCAAAGCAACGTATCCTTAGACACAAATTTTGAAGTCAAGATACCTTTAAAATATATATATATATATATTGGCTTAACTCAGCAGCCTATACAATCAAATGTCTTTCTGCAGTTAAAAATCCCAAAGACAACACAGTCCAGATTCTCTATGTAATTGTTCATCTTTATGTGGCTTATTTTTATATTACTTTTACTGTCTCTTTAAAGACATTTTAAAACTATTTCTTTATATAACTACATATTCCTTTCTCTCTCTTTTCCAAGCCTACGTACATTTTTACACACATTGTAAACTGTTTAGAGGTTTATTCCATCTGAATGTGTCTTATTGTGAATCTATTGCTTTAAACTGCAGAGTGATTAGGACATACGCCGCAGCCTTGGCTGCTGACTCTGCCCCCAGCATGGTGGTTGTAGGTTTACCGCCAGGAGCCATGTGCACAGCCAACTCTGGGAAGCAGTGGGACTGTGCCTTCATCAAGGGGCGTGTAGCCCAGAAACTTTTTTTTTTTTTTTTTTAATGTACTAGCAAAAGCTAAATCCGCCACACTGTGTGCTGTGCAACTTGGAGACGCCACTGTGTACTGTAGCAGAAATCCTCCATGCTGCTTAGCTTATGGTGGCTGGTGGCCAGCTCCATCTCACAGGGAGCTATCTGAGATAAGTCTCTACACTGTTACTGGCATGAGACTGTGAGATTAGGAAGCCTAGTGTGCCTCCATTTCTCTGCATTCAGAATCATTAAGCTTTCTTAGATCTATGTGGATCAATGCCTAGCAGTGAGTGCCAAATGTAGCTGGGCAATAGTCCTGCCCAGTCCTGTAGCCGCTCAGACCCAAATAAAGACAGAGGCTTATATCAATTGCAAATCACATGGCCATGGCCTATGGCTCAGTTTTCTTGCTAGCTAGGTCTTGTAACTAAACTCAGCTCATTTCTATTAATCTATATGTCACCACATGTTCCATGGCTTTACCTGTGTGCCTTTACATGCTGCTCCCTAAACGGCGGGATGGTGTCTCTCTGCCTCTCCTTTCGCTTCTTATCTCTCCTGGATTTTCCTACCTTGCTCCATCCTGCCCTGCCATAGGTCAATGCAGCTTTATTTATCAACCAGTCAGAGCAACACATATTCACAGCATACAGAAAGACATCCCACAACATTACAGAGTTAAACAAATGCAATATAAACAAAAGTAACATACCTTAAATATTCTACTACAAGGGAGTATAAGCATGTGCCATGGTGTTCATGCAGGAGTCTGAGGACAACTTGTAGGGGTCAGTTCTCTCCTTCCACCATGAGCCATATTGGTCCCAGGGATTGACCCTAGGTCCTTAGGCTTGTCAGCAAAGCACCCCTACCTGCTGAGCCATCTCACCATCTACAGAAATCTTTCTCTTTATCTCTGTTACAAACACAACCTGACAACCCAAGACTGCATAGTAAGTAGCCTGTGGCATCTTTCTACACACCTGTTTCATGCTGGCTCATAGAAATGAAAGATTCCAGACTCCCGTGCACCAACCTTTATACCAGGCAGAGTTTCTGCCCTTGGCCTTTGGTGTGACGGTTCCTTGGTGACACTTGTACCCACCAGCCAGTGTCCCATTGAGCTTCATAATGGAGTGTCTGTCCTGGACAAGGGCTTTATGTGGTTGTTCATGACGTTGTATAATGGGTTTGGGTTTCATGAACTGCCCATAGGCACTACCTAGAGATTTTTCCTGCTTAGTTTATTCATAAAGCCAGTCTCGGTCTGACCCAAGTATATGTATCTTACTAAGTTTCTTCAGGCCATTGCTCATGTTGTGACTCCTGATAGAAAGTGGCACCTGCTGCAAATAACTTTCTGAAGCTATTTCACATACAATTTTCAGTTTTAAGGAGAACTCTAGTTCTTTCCAGTTGAAGTGCATTGCATCTGGTTTCTCCTGAGGTCTTTTAGGAAGTCCTGAGGCTGCTCTGCCTTCACCAGTTTAGTGGATAAAGGTGCCATGTTTCAGTGCCTTGTCAATGCATTACTAATGCTAGTTTGAATTAAATTCTAAGTCCTGGCATGGTGTTTACATTCTTCTTTCCATGTTTGCATTCCCTACTTTAGACAAGTGTGAGGGAATGTCTGTGAAGAGAAGACGTGTATCGTTTGGTGGTCGTCTAAGACCTGAATTATTTGATGAGAACTTGCCTCCTAATACACCACTCAAAAGAGGAGAAACACCGACCAGGAGGAAGTCACTTGCCACTCACACTCCAGCTGTCCTGAAGAAAATCATCAAGGTAAGCTGGACAGTCAGAATTGTGTTTATATGTTGTGGCTCACAGATAGTCCATGTTCCACCCAAAACCCAGGCAGAGGTTGAATGACAATTGAGATCTTATTTTTCTACCACTTATCTCATGCCCAGAAACAACCATATGGGTTCTGGGGTGGTTCTAGGAGGTAAGGTGGTATGCTGGGCACTTTCCCTTTGAAGAAGACCCTGATACATCCATAGGGCCATATAACTTCCTGGGGCACACTGACACCATTTAAAAGACTGAAGACAGCAGCATATGTGATCACAAGGATTGTTTTGTTTTCTTCTGGAAGCATAATGGCATTGAGGTTGTAGGAAGGAAAATCTTTGGTAAAACATCTGTCTTCTGCACATTCAGCTCCTTAGACTTTTGACCCTCTGTCACTATTTTGTTGCTTTTCCTTGGTGTAACTTCATAGCTCGAGTTCCTAAAAAGGCTCTGGACAGCTTTATTCTGTTAGTACCAAAAGGACTGGTAGTCCTGTCTAACCCCTTCCTATCCCATCTCTCAGAAGTGAGCAGCCACCTCCATGCAGACCTCAGAGCTGATGTTGGCTGGGATGAAATCAGAGTGCCTTGTTTCACTAAGCAATGTCCCCATTTCTTTCCATAAGAAATTGCTCAGTTCAGACTCTACTGATGCATATGCCCCCTTCTGCTGAAATGAATGGGACAACTGACCCTTTCTTATTCTTGAAAGGCAGAATTTAAAAGCTACATGGTTTATTATAAAGGTTTTTAATAGACACTACAGAGATGTTACCTCTTTGGTCAGATTTCTCATAAACAACTCTGCCTTATCAGGAACGGCCTCAGTCACCAGGTAAACAAGAGTCTCCTGGAATATCTCCACCAAAGGCAAATGATCTAAGACGCAGATCAGGCAGGAGCTCTCCTGCTTCCAGTGACAGCAAATCCTTACATCAGACAGACACTCCCAAGAAAGCAGTCAGGAAGAGTGGCAACCTGCCTGCCAAGAGAGCATCCATCAGCCGAAGTCAGCATGACATTTTACAGATGATTTGCTCCAAAAGAAGGAGTGGTGCTTCTGAAGCCAACCTGATTGGTTAGTGTTGTCCTGGGCAAAATATTTCAAGCTCAATTTTCTTATGCTGAGTTTTGAAAAGTTTCACTGTCTTTTCCTTTTGACAGTTGCAAAATCATGGGCAGATGTCGTAAAACTCGGCACAAAACAAACACAGACAAAAGTTGTAAAACATGTTCCTCAAAAGCAGACGAGCAAAAGACAAAGACGACCCACTACTCCAAAGGTACAGCGCTCCAGCCATGCATTGCTTTTGTTCTCGATTGCCACGAGCATACATTGTTCAAGCTGTGATATTTTGTCTGTCTTGGCTTTTGTCTACAGAAACCTACAAGCAACCTTCACAATCAATTTAGCACAGGCCATGCAAACTCTCCCTGTACCATTGTAGTAGGGAGAGCTCAGATTGAAAAAGTAAGCATGCCTGCTCGGCCCTACAAAATGCTGAACAACTTGATGTTAAACCGAAAAATGGACTTCAATGAAGATCTGTCAGGTAATGCAGCCTGAATGCCTGTAGTCACAACCTTCTTGGTCCTTCTGTTTGTGACTTTCTTGGTGTTTGTTACCTCCACCCCACCCCACCCCACCCCTTGCAACCACTTTAGAACCCCAGCTGGGAGCTCATTGGCAATGAGTGTGACTACAGAATAAGCAATTGAGCCAGTTTCTTGCATCATAATATTCAAAGATGAAATTGGTTGAAAGTAGAGAACAGGTCTCTGACAATTTGGGGAATCTGTCCTATAGGAATCAGGGATAGAAATTTCAAGCGTGTATCCTCTGGTGAGCTGCGTGTGTACAGAAAATGGAAAGGTGCTTTGTGGTGTGAGAGTAAAGGGCTCTAGTACTAACTTTGGAGGAGTTGCACTGATGGCTGATCCAGGGAATCAGTTGGTTTAAAGCAATATTAATGCTTCTTCAAGATTCACTTTCTTTCTAGAGAGTTTAACTGCTTGCTGAGAGGGAATCATATAAAAGAGTTCTTTTGAACCTTTGATAATTGAATGGTTTCCACTCTATTTTGAATATCAGTCAAAGTGTGGCTGGCTGCTTAGACTTACTCTCAAGAAAGCATATTTGTTTCATGTTCCTCAATATGTGATAGTTTCTAGTTGTAGAGTTTGGAAGAGAATTAAGATTTGCACTGAGTAGGTAGAATCTTATTTTTATTTCTTACAGATTAGGAATAGAAAATGACCAAACACCTCAGTGTATGTTTGTGAATAGCCTCTCAAAGAACTGTATTTGGATCAATTCATTTATCTTTATAAAAATAAAAGACAAAAACAAAAGGTAGATAAGGGTATGTGTGTGATTATAAATTATGAGTGTGTGGTGAATAAATATATTATATTTCAAAAACTCAAAGATAAATAAGATTTTAAGTACACAGTGCCTGAGACAGTGGATTGTCATTAATGTTCCTTCCTCCTAGACCCATTCTTAGAGTCAGACAAATCTTATCCCTTGGTGTAGGCAGCCCCCACCCCCTTTTCTTTGTTTCTTGAGACAGAGTCTTAACTATCCAGGCTAGTTTCAAACCTGCAGAGATCTGCCTGCTCCTACCTTCTTAGGGCTACCATGCCTGGCTTGCCAGCTTCCATTTTAAAACAGTAGAAAGTCAACCCTTTCACATATTTCAAGTAAAGCCCAGAAGGCTATGGAAGAAGGAGACTTGCTGAACAGACTAGTGTGGATGGGCACTTCAGAGGTTCTCAGACCCATTCTGTGGTGAGTGCCAGCTCAACTTCTTATTCTGTGGTGGCCTCAAGACAGGAGCATGGCACATGACATGAGCTTTTCAGGAAGCTTAATCTTCCATATAGAGTTATGTCACTACTGCCTTTTGGTTTTAAAGTGAATGGGAATGGCACTTAGATTAAAGTGTATGTGCCTACATGCGTGTTCTTGATAGCACTGAAAACTGTCAATATTCTAATGTATGGGCATACATTATTTGTACCTAGGATTTAGATCCTGAGAAACCTAGGATTTCTTGAGCACAGAACAAAGCCCTTAGGTCATTGATTCCTCCTATTGGATATTCCCTGAGAAGAGGTACCTGTGCCCAGCTTTTGTCCCCCTGTCAGGGCTTATTTTTGGGAACTAGTTTAGAAGACTACAGTGGTCAACTAAATCACTTGATTTCCTTTCCCATAGGAGAAAGTTAAAGAAGCTGGATATATTTTGTCTTCTCATCTGCCCCCCTCCTCTCGCCCCTTTTAAATGAGCATGTTAACAAAAATCACCATTTTAATGAGATGATGTATACCTGGAATCTGAGAGCTGCTCTGTCATCTAGCTTGTCCTGTGTGAGGAATGGGATAATGTAAACCATGTTTCCAATATTTCCCTTTATCAGGACTAACTGAAATGTTCAAGACTCCAGTGAAAGAGAAGCAGCAGCAGATGAATGACGTGGGCTCCATTCTTTCCAATTCAGAGAATTTACCTGAAAAACAGTTTCAAGTCACTAATTCAGGAGACAAACCTCTGCCTATCACCTCAGAGACTTTAGGTTGGTTTATTTGTCTGTTTCCACTGCTGTACTTTAGAATGGGAACTTGAAGATGGTTTTTTTCTTTATGGGCAATACTGTATTCCTTCTCCATAATAGCTTTCCCTGGTGAAATGCCATTTCCACCTTCTCTGTTCTGTTTTCAAGCAGACTGTAGTTTTACTAACATTAGTCATTGACCTAGCAGGGAAGGAAGAATTATTGACTCAGTTAATAAGTTTAAATGATGTCTGTATGCTTTTAACTTCTTTGTTATAAGAGGGTGGAAGCACAAACAGTACATTTGGCCTGTCATATATAAATTACACAAATTAAGAGTTATTGCAAGGATAGAGGTGCAACTCAATTGTGGAATGCCTGCCTGGCATGCAGGACAATCTGGGTTCAGTCTCTAGTGTTGCAAAAATTTGGTGTGATACCTGTAATTCCAATACTTGGTAGGTGGAGGCAAGAGGATTAGAAGGTCATCATTGATTACATATAGAGTTCTAAACATACACAATAGAACCTGTTACTTCATTAGTGAATCAAGACAATAAATGTGTCTGATGTTTCAGAAGAAAAATTGCTTGTCTTCAGGTCCATGTCACATGTCATGGCAGCCTTTAGAAGATGCTTGTTAAGGACACTTCACAATGGCCCTTCTCTATCGTCAACTAACATTATAGGACAGACTTGAGATCATCTAGTAGCTTGTTATATAAGAAACTATATTATTGGTTCTTATACACTTCCTAAAGATAAAATACTAAGTTGACCTTAGATGATGAAAATGATGTGTTTATTGTATATATATTTTGTTTCCTATAGGAGAAAATGTGCTATCCAGTACTCGGGATGCAGCAAAGGAGCCATCTGATAAATATTCTGCAAGTCCTATCTTAAGACGGAGGAGCATCAAAAGTGAAAACACAGTGCAAACTCCTAAGAATGTCCCTAACATTACTCAACTTGAAAAGAAGACTTCGGGCTCTGTGACAGAGCCTCTGAAGACAGTATCCAGTGTGAGCAAGTTAAGAAGGTCTAGAGAGCTCAGACATACACTTGTAGAAAGTATACATGAAAACACAGAAGCAGACCTTGCCGAGGGCATCAAAGGCAGACACTTAAGGAAGACATCACTGCAAGGACAAGAAGTGGACCGACAGGTGCAGAACAGTGAAAACTCTTCACAAAGATTCAAGGAAAATGTTGAATTAAAAGAAGATCCAGAAAAAACATCAGCTATGAGATCAAGTGCCAGGGAGCAGAAGCCAACAAAAGACATAATAAGAAGTCAGATGATCACCCAAACAGCAGCCTGTGCTGAGGAACTACTTAATCAAGAAAAAGGAACCACAGAAGAACCAGAGGAATCCATGCACATGCAAAACACACCAATATGTGATGATCAAAGAGCTAAAAAGCAGAAAGTGGAGCTAGTATATGCAGCCAAAGTGAAGCGGTGGTCAAGGACTCCTGATAAAAAGACCCAACCTCTAGAAGGCCCAGCTAGTCTCAAGGAGCCCTTCGAGACACCAAACTGCAGAGACAAACCGATAGGTGATGATAAAACCAAAGTCCTTTGCAAATCCCCACAACCTACAACAGAGAAGACCAAAACAAGCACAAAAACACGGCCCAGCACATCTGGGAAGAAAGTAGACATGAAAGAAGAAGAACAGTCTTCACTAAAGACGTTTATACATATGTCAGGAGGAACCAGGCATACTTCCAAAGTTCCAGAACTTGAGCATGGGACCATCAAAGCTTTAAAGGAACCTGAAAATCAAATGCTGGATGTAACTGTATCTAGTACCAAGAGGCCAGTAGGAAAAGCTAAGGGAAAGGCTCAGAGCCTGGAAGACCTGACTGGTTTCCAGGAACTCTTTCTATCACCAGTCCCTGGTGACAAAATCACAAAAATGCCCAACAAATCTCCATTTCCAGAACTGGTCGGAAACCCAGCAAGCAAAAGGAAACTGTCCAAGACAGGTCTTGATAAGGTGGGTGTGAGAGAAGAGCCTTTCACACTTGAGAAACGAACAAAGTCTCCAGGCAGAGCCACACGCACACCCACAGCACCAGTGCTGGAAGAGAGCGATACCACAGCCCTTATGGAAACTCCAAAGCAGAAACTGGATTTCACAGAGAATTCAGGGAGTAAGAGAAGGTCACGGACACCCAAGATCAGGGCTCAACCCCTAGAAGACCTGGATGGCTTCCAAGAACTCTTCCAAACTCCAGTTGGTGCCAGTGACCCAGTGACTGTTGGGGAAACTACAAAGGTGTCTTTGGAATGTCCACAACCAGAACCAGTCAGAACCCCAGCAAGCACAAAGAGACTGTCCAAGACAGGTCTTGATAAGGTGGGTGTGAGAGAAGAGCCTTTCACACTTGGGAAACGAACAAAGTCTCCAGGCAGAGCCACACGCACACCCACAGCACCAGTGCTGGAAGAGAGCGATACCACAGCCCTTATGGAAACTCCAAAGCAGAAACTGGTTTTCACAGAGAATTCAACAGGACATAAGAGAAGGTCACAGACACCTAAAATCAGGATTCAACCCCTTGAAGACCTAGATGACTTCCAAGAACTCTTCCAAACTCCAGTTGGTGCCAGTGACCCAATGACTGTTGGGGAAACTACAAAGGTATCTTTGGAATGTCCACAACCAGAACCAGTCAGTACCCCAGCAAGCACAAAGAGACTGTCCAAGACAAGTCTCAGGAAAGTGGATTTGAGAGAAGAGCCTTTAACACTTGGGAAACGAACAAAGTCACCAGGCAGAGCCACACGCACACCCACAGCACCAGTGCTGGAAGAGAGCGACACCACAGCCCTTATGGAAACTCCAAAGCAGAAACTGGATTTCACAGAGAATTCAGGGAGTAAGAGAAGGTCACGGACACCCAAGATCAGGGCTCAACCCCTAGAAGACCTGGATGGCTTCCAAGAACTCTTCCAAACTCCAGTTGGTGCCAGTGACCCAGTGACTGTTGGGGAAACTACAAAGGTGTCTTTGGAATGTCCACAACCAGAACCAGTCAGAACCCCAACAAGCACAAAGAGACTGTCCAAGACAGGTCTTGATAAGGTGGGTGTGAGAGAAGAGCCTTTCACACTTGGGAAACGAACAAAGTCTCCAGGCAGAGCCACACGCACACCCACAGCACCAGTGCTGGAAGAGAGCGATACCACAGCCCTTATGGAAACTCCAAAGCAGAAACTGGTTTTCACAGAGAATTCAACAGGACATAAGAGAAGGTCACAGACACCTAAAATCAGGATTCAACCCCTTGAAGACCTAGATGACTTCCAAGAACTCTTCCAAACTCCAGTTGGTGCCAGTGACCCAATGACTGTTGGGGAAACTACAAAGGTATCTTTGGAATGTCCACAACCAGAACCAGTCAGTACCCCAGCAAGCACAAAGAGACTGTCCAAGACAGGTCTCAGGAAAGTGGATTTGAGAGAAGAGCCTTTAACACTTGGGAAACGAACAAAGTCACCAGGCAGAGCCACACGCACACCCACAGCACCAGTGCTGGAAGAGAGCGACACCACAGCCCTTATGGAAACTCCAAAGCAGAAACTGGATTTCACAGAGAATTCAGGGAGTAAGAGAAGGTCACGGACACCCAAGATCAGGGCTCAACCCCTAGAAGACCTGGATGGCTTCCAAGAACTCTTCCAAACTCCAGTTGGTGCCAGTGACCCAGTGACTATTGGGGAAACTACAAAGGTATCTTTGGAATCTCTACATTCAGAACCGGTCAGAACCCCAGCAAGCACAAAGAGACTGTCCAAGACAGGTCTCAGGAAAGTGGATGTGAGGGAAGAGCCTTCCACACTTGGGAAACGAACGAAGTCACCAGGCAGAGCCTCACGCACACCCACAGCACCAGTACAGCAGGAAAAAGGGATAAAAGCAATGATGGAAACTTCAAATCAGAATCTGGAGCCTGTAGGAAATTTAACTGGGCCTAAGAAACAGCTTAGAACACCTAAGGAAGAAGGCCAATCTCTAGAAGACCTAACTGATTGCCAGGAGCTCTTCCAAACACCAGACCATGGCAATGGCCCGTTGGTTGTTGGGAAAACCAAAAAAATGTCCTTTAATTATCCACCACCAGAACCTGTCATAACCCTAAAAAGCATAAAGAGACAGTCCAGGGCAAGTATCAGTAAAACAGAAGTGAAAGAAGAACTTTCAGAGTCAGAGAAACACCTGCAAATAGAAAAAGCCATAGACACACTCCAGGTACCCGATGGTAACACTGTTGTTAGAACATCGAAGCAATCTGCAAAGCGGAAACTGGATCCAGCAGCTAGTGTGCCTAGCAGCAAGAGGCTGCGACGTGCATCTAAGGATAAGACACCATGCCTGGAAGACCTCAGTGGCTTCCAACAGCTCTTCCAAACACCAGGCCATACTAAAGACTCACTCCCTGTTGGTGAAACCTTAAAAATGCCCAGCAAACCTCCACATTCAGGACCAGTTCGAAGCCAAACTAGTAGGAAGAGTGTGGCCAAGATAAGTCTCAGGAAAATGGATATGACAGAACTTTCAGCACTCTGGAAGCAGTCATTAGGCAAAGCCCCCACAGCACCAGTGCAGCAGGATACTGGGATACAAGCAATTATGAAGAAGACTCCAAAGGATAGACTAGAGAGTGCAGCAGATGTAACTGGGCTTACAGGACAGCGAAGAGCACCTAAGGAAAAAGCCCTACCCCTGGGAGACCTTAGTGGCTTCCAAGAAGTCTTCCAAACACCAGGCCACAGCACTGATCCATTAATTGATAACAAAATAACAAGTGTACCCTTGAAATCTCCACAACCAGGACTTATTAGAACCCCACAAACCTCAAAGAGACTAGCCAAGACAAGTCTTGGGAAAGGGGGTGTGAGAGAAGAGATCTCCTCACTGAATGTGCCGGGGCGAGCTACAGGGGAGATTGTGCACGTACCCAGACTTCCAGAAGATGATGGCAGAGGGAACAAGGATCTGAAGGAATCCAGAACTCAGACACAGGGCCCATCCGTAAGTGTAACTGGCAGCAAAAAGCAGCGAGGGGCACATAAGGAAAGGTCTCAGTCCCCAGAAGACTTATCTGGTCTCCAGGAGCTCTTCCAAACACCAGCTAGTCACAAAGACTCAATGACTGTTCGTGAAACTATGAAAATGTCTTTGGAGTCTTCAGAACCAGAACATATCAGAACCCCAGCAAACAAAAGGAGACTGTCCAAGACAGGTCTTGATACGGTGGGTGTGAGAGAAGAGCCTTCCACACTTGGGAAACGAACAAAGTCTCCAGGCAGAGCCACACGCACACCCACAGCACCAGTGCTGGAAGAGAGCGACACCACAGCCCTTATGGAAACTCCAAAGCAGAAACTGGATTTCACAGAGAATTCAGGGAGTAAGAGAAGGTCACGGACACCCAAGATCAGGGCTCAACCCCTAGAAGACCTGGATGGCTTCCAAGAACTCTTCCAAACTCCAGTTGGTGCCAGTGACCCAGTGACTGTTGGGGAAACTACAAAGGTATCTTTGGAATGTCCACAACCAGAACCAGTCAGAACCCCAGCAAGCACAAAGAGACTGTCCAAGACAGGTCTTGATAAGGTGGGTGTGAGAGAAGAGCCTTTCACACTTGGGAAACGAACAAAGTCTCCAGGCAGAGCCACACGCACACCCACAGCACCAGTGCTGGAAGAGAGCGACACCACAGCCCTTATGGAAACTCCAAAGCAGAAACTGGATTTCACAGAGAATTCAGGGAGTAAGAGAAGGTCACGGACACCCAAGATCAGGGCTCAACCCCTAGAAGACCTGGATGGCTTCCAAGAACTCTTCCAAACTCCAGTTGGTGCCAGTGACCCAGTGACTATTGGGGAAACTACAAAGGTATCTTTAGAATGTCCACAACCAGAACCAGTCAGAACCCCAGCAAGCACAAAGAGACTGTCCAAGACAGGTCTTGATACGGTGGGTGTGAGAGAAGAGCCTTCCACACTTGGGAAACGAACAAAGTCTCCAGGCAGAGCCACACACACACCCACAGCACCAGTGCTGGAAGAGAGCGATACCACAGCCCTTATGGAAACTCCAAAGCAGAAACTGGATTTCACAGAGAATTCAGGGAGTAAGAGAAGGTCACGGACACCCAAGATCAGGGCTCAACCCCTAGAAGACCTGGATGGCTTCCAAGAACTCTTCCAAACTCCAGTTGGTGTCAGTGACCCAGTGACTGTTGGGGAAACTACAAAGGTATCTTTGGAATGTCCACAACCAGAATCAATCAGAACCCCAGTAAGCACAAAGAGACTGTCCAAGACAGGTCTTGATAAGGTGGGTGTGAGAGAAAAGCTTTCTCCACTGAATAAGCCAAGATGTTCATCACAGAAAGTCATGCATGAACCCAGACTTTCAGAACATGATGGCAGAGGAACCATAGATTTGAAGCAATCTGTGACTCAGACATTGGACCCAGCAGTAAGTGTAACTCGCACTAAGAGGCAGCGAGGGGCATGTAAGAAAAGGTCCCAATCCCCAGAAGACCTATTTCGTCTCCAGGAGCTCTTCCAAACACCAGGACATGATAAGGATTCAGTGGCAGGTGATAAGCTCACAAAAATGCCCCACAGGTTACCATCACCAGAGCCAGTAGACACTTCAGTAACCTCACAGAGACAGCCCAGAACTAGACTGATGAAAGCTCGTGTGAAAAGTGAACAATCAGGAGACAGAATGCTTCCACAAATGTCAGGGGAAATCATGGACATATCTAGAGTAGCAGAAGGTGAAGATAAAGGCATTAGAACAAGGAAGCAAGCTGTAAAGCGGAAATTGGACACAGCAGTCAGTGTACCCAGCAGCAAGAGGCAACGAATTGCACAGGCAGAAAAGGCACAGGCCCTAGAGGATCTGCCTAGCTTCCAAGAGCTCTACCAGCCTCCAAGTTCAGCAGTGGACTCAGTGACTGTTGACAAAGCCACAAAGATGTCCAGCAAATCTCCAGAGCCCATGGACACAACTTCAAAGACACAGCCAGGAAGAAGACTCAGGAGAGTGGGTGTGACCAAAGAGCCTGTAGCACAAAGAAAGTCTACAAGAGTGTTACGGGAAACTAGAAACACACACCAAGAGCCTGTGGGTGACAGAATAGGTGACAAAGAGTTTAAGGAATCTTCAATGCAGAAACAAGACCCAGCTGGAAGCTTAACTGGCAAGAGAAGCCAACCAAGGACACACAAGGAGAAGACCCAACCCTTAGAGGAGCTGCCCAGCATCCAAGAGGAAACAGCTACAAGAATGTCTTGTGAATCTCCACAACCAGAAGAAAAGGAAACCTCAGCAGCCTCAAAGAGGCAGCTCAGAATACGACTGTGCAAAGTAGGTGTGAAAGAAGAGCCCATAGCACAGAGAAAGCCACCAGGCAGGGAAACCAGGAGCACACTCAAAGAGCCCATGAGTGATAGTGGAAATGTTGAAGAGCTTAAGGAGTCTACAAAGCGGAAGACTGACCCAGCAGCAAGTGTGCCTGTCAGCAAGAGGTCACGGAGGGTACCCAGGGAAAAGGCACAACCCCTAGAACTGGCTGGTCCTAAAACACCAGTCAAAATCCCAGGTCCCACTGAGGAATCAGCAAGTGATAAAAGACTCCCACAGATGCCCTCTACTGCTCTACAACCAGAGCAAGTAGACAGCCTCCAGACCTCACCAAGACGTCCCAGGACAAGACGAGGGAAAGTAGAGGTGGATGAAGAGCCTTCAGTAGTGAGGAAGACAGTGCCAAAATCAAGGCAAACTACACGATCCTGCAAGGTCCCTGAAATTGATGACAAAGACACCCAAGCTTCAAAGGAGCCTGTAAAGCAGAAATTAGAAACAGTTGCCAATGTAACTGGCAGCAGGAGGCAGCTAAGGGCGCCTAAGGGCAGGGTCCAACCTCTTGAAGTCTTGGGTGACTCCAAAGAAATAACTGAAATATCAGAGCACACTGAGGAACTAAGACCTGACACCAGTAAGAGCACTCTACAGCAAATGCCAGACTCCATAAAACCTCTGAGAACATGCAGGAGAGTGCTAAGGGCCTCTAAAGAGGACACTGTGGAAACCATGAAAATGTTGGTGGATACCAGAGACCCTGAAGAATCACAAAGCAAAAGCAACACTCTCCTGCCCCCCAAGAGAAAGTCTGCAAGAGATGGAAGTGTTTCAAGAACCAGGGGGCTGCGCTCTGTGACTCCAAAGCAGGAAGCAACAGATGAGAAACCTGTAGCTAAGACACAGAGGACTGCTCCCAGCAAGAGGCAAGTGTCACCTGAGCCCGTGAAGATGAAACACCTGAGAATCATGTCAAGCAAAATTGAACCAGTGGAAGAGGAGATTAGCAACATCATGAAAACAGAAGAAAAGGAAGCCCCTCCAGATCAGGTGATGGGGATGGACATGGTGGGTGCTTGTCAGAGAGGGTCAGGCCCATTTTGCTGCAGTTATTTGTGCATTACAAGGTTTACTCAAAATAAAGATTCAGTTCCTTATGGTTTCTGTTTGCCACCATTAATAGCTCTGGTCTGTAGTCCTTTATGGATTTGTATAAGGAATAGACTAACCCCTTAGAGTTTTCCTGTCTGGAAGAGAGCTAATGAGAAGTGGCTGTAGTAGTTCCCAGGGAGTGAATGAATTGCATGTATCTTTAGTTCGAAGAATTACTCAGAGAACAGATGGGTAGTGTAGTTTTGTGTCTGTACCAGTATTCTAGTAAGAACACAGGTGCTAAGGTTCATATATCCTTGTAAAGGAATGGAGCAGGAAGGTCACCATGGCACCCCTCAAAGATTGCAGGCCCTTGTTCTTTGGTGATCTTTAAAGGACCAGGGACTCATTTGCTGCCTGTACAGTGGGCATTCTTCAGTAGTATAAACTGGAGTATTTGGGTATGATTGACATCCTGAATTTATAACTTATCAATGATGGTTGTTTTTCCATAGGAACAAAGTAGCCAAGGCATTGTCTTGACTATCTTAGATGATTCTTAGTAAATGAATCATAAAATTTGTGGTCCTTTTTTTTAAGTTTTACTTTTTTCTTTTTTTCCTAATGGATCTTGAGATTTAACTAATTTTGTGGTTATCTTCTCATTTCCTTAGAAAATGGCTCTGCCCTCCAGAAACCGAAAGAAAACCAATGGAAAACAACCAAGACCTGAGGTTAGTGCATCTGCAGAGACGGTTGGGATCAAGAAAAATGAGAAGACCATGGAGACCTCCCAGGAGACAGAGCTGCAGAGCACAGATGATGGAGCCAAGAAGTCTACTGCTAGGGACAAAGTCAGTGGGAAAAGAACGTGCTTGAGGTCTAGAGGTCAGAGGGAGCTTCCCCAGACTCATGCAGCAGAGGAGAAACCAAGTGAGACGGAGGCAGAGATCTTGATAAAGACTCAGAAAAAGAAAGGAGTCTCTGGAGATTCAGATGTCAGATGTTTGAGATCCAGAAAAACTGGAGCCACTTCGGACACTGAACCTAAGCCAAGAGTAACTCGGGGCACTAAGAAAGATACAGAAGTTCCAAAGAAGGTGAGGCCTTTTGTTTTACACTCTTCAAAAGCAGGGATGTTCTAATATTTATGCCCAGGCTGCAAAGGCAAATCAGAACATGCCAGCAGCTCCCAGCTGTGCTAGTGGGAGAAGCCATCATCCAAACCACCTACTTTCTTGTGTGCTTTAGTAATTCCACTTTGAGTAGTGAATTCACCTTACTGAAGGTTTCATTCTAGAAGAGCTATACATTCATCTAATGTCACTTTCTGATGCTTCTGATGCTTGTGATGCTGCTTATCATGGTTATAGATGACATCTTCAGCCTCTCTAGGTCGGCCACACTTAACTAAACTAAAGATGGCCTGCACCTCAAAAGACTTCCTTTAAAATGAATGAATAGGGGCTGGTGAATTGGCTTAATAGTTAAGAGCACTAACTGTTCTTTCAGAGAGGAGCAAGCCTCTCACCTGATGTGTGTACCTTTCTATCATCATGTGTACAGTCGTCGTCGACCCATGTTAGCAGCTCCCTGTTATTGTCCTCTAGAATTCAACAGCATTCACATACCAAGATCTTCCCATCCACACTAAGCCTCATACTTCTAGAGTTCCTGTTTTCTATCTCTCTTTTTCTTACTGTTCATGATCACCCAAAAAACTGCTTCTAAAGTATGCCCAGAATCACCCTTGACTTTTCCTAAGTTGCATTGGGTGAGCCTTGTGTTTATCAGTACCAGGACTTCTGGTCATTTGCTCTGAGAGGCCATTGTCATCTGCTTTCTGTAGATTGGATCTCCATTTAGTAGATCTCCCCACTGCCTTAGAAGACTCACTATGCTCTTGCAGCCACATAGGAGAACTCAGGACACAGTGACTATCCTCTGTCTGTGGGAAGTTATCTTTAGGACATTTAAGTTTTCATCTAGGTCACCTTCAGATTCAGTTTTTCTGAATGATGCTTTCTAACTAGTGAACTGTGTAACATATTAGAAACTTGTGAAAGAGCACAGAGTCTAAGTTTAAAAAGCTAAGTAAGAAAATGTTTAGGAGGAAACAACTTCAAGGTAAGCACTGTAAAACTAATTTCCAACTTTAAAGTTAATTTTTATTTATTTTTTAAAAACACTTGTAGTTTTTTGTTTTGTTTTTCTTAATTTGTGGTGAGTGTTTTGCCTGTATGTATGTGTACCATGTGTCTGCCTGCAGTGGTCAGTCAAAAGAGTGCATCTGATCCCCTGGATGGTTGCTGGGAATTGAACTCATATCCTCTGCAAGAGCAGAAAGTGCCTGTAGCCATTTAGCCATCTCTCCAGCCCCTCAAAGTTAATTTTTAGACTGGAAGACCTGAATGACACCTAGTAAGGACTGGGGGTCTGTAGAGTTGAGCTGCTCACAAAAATTATTCCTTCACATTATTTAGGAGTTGTGTTTTTCTTCTCAAACAGGATGAAGACATTGTGTACACCAAGAAATTAAGGACAAGAAGTCACCAGAATAGTAAAAATATGTAGGGTAGACATTTAAGAAGGAAACGTAAATTTAGCTTAGTGATAATTTCCAGTGTGATTTTTATCTCCAGTGTAAAGGTAAACTGTAAATAATACTGCCCATGTTTAAGGAAGGAAGCTTTGAGCTTTCGTGGTTATACTCTCTTCAAACTCCAATGGAGATCATGAGGGGGGTCACTAGCAATCTCAGAGCAATAACAATTTAAAAGTTTGGGGGTGGGCAGGCAGAAGTGTGGCCCTCTGTCCTGTACAATAAAGTTCTGAAGTATATTGCCTCCTGTGGTCTCTCTGTGCTACTGCTACAGCATCTTCTCATCTGCTTGTGTCCTTTGTCATTGGCAAAGGCAGAAGGGACAATCCTGTGTCCCTCCACTGACCTGATTCTCAGTAGACATTAGTTGTGTAGTTAGATCAGAGGAGCTTACACGGGATAACTGGATAACTGTACAACAGAGCATTTGGTTTGTAGACTGATCACTGCTCATTTGTACGAGTCGGCCTGATTCTTTAGGTCTTTGACCTTTAATAGAAACAGCTATGACAACATGGATGTCTGGTGAGCCCACCTTCAGGGGCACAGGTTGTTCTGTTAGAGAGTTCTTGGTGCATGTGCTTTTCTTTTTTTAAATTTTTTATTTATTTACTTTTATTTTCATTTGCATTGGTATTTTACCTGCATGTATGTCTGTGTGAGGGTGTCAGATCTTGGAGTTAGAGACAGTTGTTAGCTGGTGTATGGGTGCTGGAACTAGAACCTGAGTCTTCTGGAAGAACAGTCAGTGCTCTTAACTGCTGAGCCATCTCTCCAGCCTACTTGTGCTTTTCGTTAGGCATCTATACTGAACAAGTTGGCTGCCTTGCCTATGGAACTGTTGCTGTTGGATAGTATGCCACTCTAGCTCCCACCCTAGCTTCTGTTTTTATCATGTGCTTTTTCTGACTTCTTGCCTGGCAGCGTGAGGCTTTCACCCACAGCCACTCTGGCATTTGGTATGAGATGAGTATCTCCTAAGTCTCACTTTAATCCTAGATTCCATTTCAGACCATAGTCGTAACTTATGTATCTCCACTATGCATGTTATATCCAACTTTTGTACTTTCCACCCTGTCCCCTAGTCCTCTTTCTGTGCTTTCCAGCAGTAGCACATCATTCCAGGTATCTGCCCAGTGCTGTCCACTGGGCCTCCTTTGCCAAATGGGGTGATGATGGCAGGCTGGACAGAGAGGCCCTGGTCAGCCAATGCTCTAACCTGCTCACTTCTTTATCCTCTGTCTGACATGCATCTGAATATACAGTTGTAAGATACTGAGTGAAAGCAGGGATTTCATAATTTGGAGGAGTCTGAGGGTTACTTCTGCCATTTTATCTGCCACGGGATTTCTGTAATCATAAGGAATGGCAACAGGTTATTCCTAAGCAGACAATTGAGACTTCACAGGACAGATGACAGTTGAGCTGGTAAAGGGAATTGCGCAGAGCGGAAGGTATGGGAAGAAAGAGCCCATTTTAGATGGTGTGAGGCATGAAAGTGCCCTTCATTGACTTGAATCTTAAAGTCAAGATCTTTCTTTCTTTATTTATTTTATGTATATGAGTGCTCTACCTGCATGCATGCCTTTATGCCAGAAGAGGGCATCAGGTCCCACTATAGATGGTTGTGAGCCACCATGTGGTTGCTGGGAGTTGAACTTAGCACCTCTGGAAGAGCAGCCAGTGGTCTTAGCCACTGAGCCATCTCTCCAGCCCCAAGTCAAAATTTTTTAAGTAACAGGAACATTGACTTGTCCTCATGTGTAATTAGAAACATTGTATGTATGTGGGAAATTTCAGTCAACTGCATGCTGGTTGAACAGAACATGGTGATGAATGAAAAACCTGCTCAGTTGTCAGAAATCCTGCCTGAGCTATGTCAGCACATTTTCTCATTGAGGTAAGTGGTATTTCAAGAGCTTAAAAGGTTGTCCTTAGGGCTACAGATGCTGGATTAGAGAAGCTCATTCGGGACTTGGGGAATGACAAAGCACCGGCTGTGCAGGCAAGAAGGCAAGAGCAGATTAGCAGCACCTACATAAGAGCTGGGCATGGTGACATAGGTCAGTAGCCCCATCATCGGGATGTGGGGTCAGGTGAATCCCTGGGGCTTGCTAGCCAGCCAGCCTAGCCCAAATGGAACACATCCTCCATTTACCTTGGTGGAGCCTCTGAGAAATACCAGTTTTCATGGTTAATTGTGTAGTTGGAAGCAAATATCCTCCTCTTCCCCAAGTGTTTAGCTACAGTCTCTAAGTCGTCTCTAGCAATGTCAGTTTCCCAGTAGAAACCATGATGGGAGATTCCCAAGGGACACCACTTTTTGGCCTTTTAGAGCCTGTGTGACTGTTTTGCTGTCATTTGCTCCTGCCCCAACCAAGTACTGTTTTCCCTGCCTGGAACTTGGCACACACCTGTACTTCATCAGTATTCCTTGGAATGCTGAGCTTAGCTCCAGAAAAATTTCCAGGCCTCTGCATTCCAGCCACTGTCCAAGGTTGGGGCAGGTCTTTGGTTGGCAGCAGAAGCCAGGCACCTGGTGAGAATCAGCCTCCCAAATGCAATTTTCAGTCCCTTGACTAAAACCGATTTAGTTTAATAGTGTGTAATCCGGCTTGCCTGCTCATTGCATTGTGGCTTAGGGCAAGTCTTTCTCCCTCTAACAGACAGTTTTCTGGACTATAGAATGATGTTCTCAGCGTTCCAGCTCAGGTCAGTCAGGAGGATTAACTGAATAGAATACTACTTGTAGCTCCTTTAGCCGTTGGCAAGTGCTTGGAGTCAAGCTAATTAGGATCATTTTCAGAGGACCTATACCTCCAAGCTGTGTCTTGGGGGTTTCCCCCTGGAGAAGGTAGGAAGATTTGGAACACTGAAGTCTCAGTGCTAGGTTCCACACAATGTCCCAAACAGGGAAACTGTAGGCCAGGAATACTAGAAGATTCCACCTCAGTGATTCTGATCTCTTAATCACGGCTAATTTCTCAGTCCCAGCCAGCCAGCATCAATTGTCCCAGTAAAGGTTTCATTTGATGGTGCTGGACTGTTGTCAATCATAGCTTATTCTTCAGTCCCAGATGACCAGAACCCACATCTTAATTCAGAGTATCCAAACAGCCCAGATAGTCTTTGCTTCCCTCTGAAACTTGGCAAGCCCGGCCTCCATTGTTCATACCTCTTAGCGTTATCATCCAAGTTCCCACAGAACAGCTCCCTAAGCTCTGAGCACTCAATGGTTTTTCCAGCCCCAATCCTCCCCTAATTAACATAGTTAGGTCTGTCACAGCCAAAGTATGTGTTCAAGGTACCAGTTGCTGTATTAGTTACTTTTCTGTTACTGTGCTAAAATACATGTGCCTTTGTACTCATGTACCTGCATACACACACACACACACACACACACACACACACACACACACACACACATTTATTTAAAAATAAGACTAAATTGTCATTGTACGCTGAATGCATGTCTTTGGTGCTGGGGCTTCACATATGCTAAGTATGGACTTGACCATGGAGCTACACTCCCAGCCCTCAAGGCATGCCTTGTCTAAAAGGACTTGGACTTCAGGCAGGAGAATGAAGTTCAGAAATGTGAAGAAAGCAGCACGGCTGTAGCTTGGCGGTCAGAGGTTTATTCTTGCATCAGGATGTTCTCGATCTTGCAGTTCGCATGTCCCAAGAATTCAGTGACATTCACTGGCATTATAATCAGAGCAAGATCAAATGGTAAATGTAATCAAAGAAAATGTGAGAGTTGGAACCATGACGCATACATACAAAGATTGCACATAAATTAAACATGGCTTGGTTACAAACGAAAATATATCAGTAAATACACATGAAAAAACCCAACAACATGGCCATATCTCCAAATGCTGAAACACAGGTATCAGGCTCATTTTAAAAAGTTTAAAAACACATAAAAAATACCTTGGAAAACACAGGTGTGCATTCCTCATTCATCTAGCACATGGAGAGAGTAAAGCAAGTCACACAGTGACCAAGGAACGCACCTGATCAGAACACTCAGCTCTGATTGCTATTTGGCATTTGAACACAACTGCATGCAACAGAGAAATGAGAAGGTCATTGTCAGTGCCGGGCTGTTCACTGGCGTATACTGGACCTTTGAAGAAAGAAGGACATGCCAGGTACACAGAAAATGCTGAGACTTGACTTGGGATGCCCCTTGTATACCAAGGCTCTGTGTGTCTTAGGGAAGCTGAATTTGGCTGTGGCATTAGCCAAGAGACTGGAGGGATTGGCCCTTCCAAAGAAAGACAAGTGCTGCCCCAAATGTGCCCACAGGAGGGCAGCTTCTGTTTAGAAACAAGTGGAGCTCCTGCAGGGGAACCTTGGGCAGCCCCAAGGTGAGGAAAAACACACAAATAGAATATTTTTCTAGACGTCCTGAAAAGGTGTACCCTAAAGGCATTTCTTGATACAAGAGATGCCTGGGATTCGGAGCAACTAAGCTGGAGTGCCAAGGCGCATGGCTGAACTTTGGTGTGGGGCCAGTGTGAGGTCACCTTCATCCCGGTGGGCTTGGGGTGCAGAGTGGAAGCTTCCCTTTGTCCTGCTTCAGTCAAAGAAAGGGATTGGGCTTGAGGTTTAACATGGTGACAAATGAAACCACTGGCCAAGGAAAGCTCCTCGCTCTTGCGTCTTCTGCCTGTGCTCCACTCCTGCTTAGAGAAGGGGAGGTCCCGCTCAGCGCAGAGAGCCAGCCCTGGGTGCAGTCCGTGGTGAAGACAGAAGCCACTGTCTTCTTTCACCCTGCATGCTGGGCACCATCTTGTGCCTCTGGATGGAACTCAGGGCTGTAAGATGTGAGAGAAGCTTGGTGACTTGTTCACCTGTAGGAGGCAGTGACCGACCCTGGGGTTGTCCCCAGACACACTATAAACAAACAAGGACACACAGTGCAATAGGCGGACATGATCAGTCCTCCATGGAGATGGCAAATAAGGCCTTTATATTTTCATATCTCTTTAAAAAATACCCAAACTGTATGTTCAAAGCCTTCAGTGAGCTAGACCAGATGTCTTTTTTTTTTCTTTTTTTAAACTTTGTGCTCATTTGCTAGGTACCTAAATGCCATAGGAAGATCATATTGAAGTCAGTGTTACTACATTCACCCTCTCCCCATGCCATCCTTCCCCTAACGTACTCCTCTCTGGCAGTGTGACAGTCACTGCCTCCTGGGTTCAGAGGCTTCAGCAGCATTTCCACTCAAAGGTAAGTTAGACTTCAAATTAGGCTTTTTCTCACTCTCATTTTTTTCTTTTAAACACCAAGTAGTGGGATGTTTAAAAAACTGTACAAATCTAGATTTTAAGATTTCTTTGCTTACAAACCATCTTAACTTTTTACAAAGAAAATCTGATATACCAAAATGCCTGTCAGAAGGATTACAGTGCAATAGCTTTGTGGTCATCCTACTGTTTCTACGTGTGTGTGTGTGTGTGTGTGTGTGTGTGTGTGTGTGTGTGTGTGTGTGTGTGTCAGACGTTTCGTTTCAATGAGGAAGGGAAGGAAGTAGTTTTGCATTGAGCCTGTAGACTCAACTAAGATCAGTACAGGCAGCTGGGCCAGTGGGAGGGCCATTGGATTGAGTTGGCTGGATTCTGAACCAGGCACACAGGCAGACGGACAGTAAGTGGTTCCCCAGGAACAGCTCTGATGGCTAGTGGGGGATACTGGAGGCCTGTGAGAATAGATGACCTGGGACCAGCACCTCTTTTCATCAAGTCTGCAGTGGCAGGGGCACAGCCTTTCACAAATCAATGCCTTTAAAAATTCCCTGGAAAGTCACCATCTGCCCTTGTGGGTCTGAGACCTAGATTCAGGTTGCGAGATCTCTAATTTTTTTTTTTTAACGTATTTTTTGAGACAGTCTTACTGTAGCCCACGCTGGACTGAACCTGAAGGCAGTCCTCATGCTTCAGCCCCTAAAGTGCTAGAAACACAGGTATGCACTGCCATGCCTGGCTCCTTTTCTGATCTTTCAAATGTAAAGGTGAACCACAGGGCTGAGACCCAGGACTTGACCGAAGCCCCTGTGTATACTGTTTGCCGCACCCTGATGCCCTGGGTGGGCATGACAGCTGCTAGAAAGAGTAAATGTGTCCTGACTCTGAGTCCTCAACTGTTTTCTCCACAAGGGGCTTCATGGTTAGCGTCTTTCACAGACACATTTGACATATTAAGAGCTACATTTACAGATGCATGACGTGACATCACATGATGTGAATCTAACAGAATTAAGATACTGACTGATATTAGCAGAAATATATATCTTCCTGGATAGTATTTGACCTTAACACATTATTCCAACTTTTAAAAAGGGCATTTAAGATTTAATAACCTTACAGCAGGTAGCCTTTAGAACATAACAAAATATATACAAAGGAATTAGGAAGGATATTAATGTCCACTAGGAAATAAATTAACATTATTATTATTTTTTTTTACAAAATATACTGACCATTAAATTAAAAACTATTTTAAGGCAGGAATCTTCATTTGAAATTAGCATAATCAGAAAAGATATCGATAAAGTCTTGTACCACTTTGTAGCAGAATTCATATTGCTCCTGCAAAGAGAACAAGAGTGTGTTAGTAAGCTGCTTCACACGTGCTTGGTGCATTCAATCAGAAGATGTCAGTCAGTCTGTCGATGCACCGAAGTCCGTGGTTCCCTCCCACACATCAGCTTCTGTTATGTAATGCAGCAGCTTCTAGGCACAAGACATGTTCTAAACTAAGCTGTTTTTCTGTGGGAAACATCAATTTTCAGTTTCATTTTAGTGTATTTTTAGAAAGGTCTTAGGCAAATGTCTCTACTTTTCATATTGACATTGGAAAATATTTTGTGTATATGTGTGCACATCTGTGTGTGTATTTGTGTGTGCGCAGGTACATGTGTCTGCCTGCACGCGTAGACCAGAGATTAACTTCAGTGTCCTTCCTCAGGTGCTGTCCACACGGGTTTTGAGACAGGGTCTCTCACTGACCTAGAAGCTGCCAAGTAGGTTAGGCTGGCTGCCTGTGAGCCCCAGGGAGCCTTCCTCTGCTTCCTAGCTGTGGGATTACAAGCATATGCTATCATGCCCATCTTTTTTTTTTTTTTTTTTTAATTTATTGTGGGTTCTGGGGAATGAAACTCAGGTCCTTTTGCTTTCAAGACAAGTGCTTTAATTTCCCCAAGGCCAGTAAACAAATGTGTGTGTGTGTGTGTGTGTGTGTGTGTGTTTTAGTGTGTGTATGTGTGCATATATGTGTGTGTGCATGTGTGTGCATATGTGTGTGTATGTGTGCGTGTGCGTGTGTGTGCGTGCGTGTGTGTGTGTGTGTGTGTGTGTGTGTGTGTGTGTGTGTGTGTGTTTGATACATGTTTGTTGTTTTGAGACAGAGTTTTATGTTGCTTGGCCTATCCTGAACTCACACTAGCCAAGGATGACCTTAAACTCTTGATCTTCCTGCCTCTACCTCCGAAGTGTTGAGAGTATAAGTATATGCCACCACAGCTGAATGAAAACTATTTGTGAGGTGGGGAAAAAAAAAAACACACCACAGTTTAACACTGAAAAATCAAGTTCACAGTGCCTAACTTATAACTTAAGTAAATGAAAATCACATGGCTTTATATTAATATACATTTCATTAGAATTTGCAAGACTAACTGTTTGTGTGGGGCCTTTCTATTATCACCGCCACAGCCCACCTATCTTTGTGCATGGGTCAGGGTGCCTGTCAAGAGTGGTCAGTGTGGGGAACGAGCAGGAGGGAGAGAAGTCCTAATTAGGAGACTCTGGGAAATGACCAAGGAGAACAGCCTTTAAACCTGCACTTGCTCCTTCAGCATGAAGCATTCCGGAATTCAGTGCAGACTCTCTCCCTCTAACCAGGAAGTGTGCGTGGGGTAATGAAAGAGACTATGTAGAGCAGTTGGATGCTAGGAGACGTCCCGCCCCTGCCAGGCAAGACCCTCAGAGGGGCCTTGAGGTTGAGTGAGACCTTCCAAAGGCAAACAGACTAGATGCAACAGTGGAACATGGAAAATAACAAGCATCAGGACTTTGAACCTCAGGGCTGCTTTTGAACTCTGTAACAGTGTTTTTTAATGGAAATAAAATTTGCACATGAGCTCCTCCTCTTGAGTCTAAGATGGGGATGGGGGAGGGGGGAGGTTTACTGTGAAAGGCTGCAGTTGGGTCAGTCACTCTGGGAAATGAGCCCTCCTCCTCCTCCTATACAGTGGGTACTCCTTTAATGAAACCTACATCAAGCACATGAAACAATTCCCGACTCTTCTGGAACATCAGATCATTCAGATTCTTACCAGGGTTTGCACCATGTGTGGTCTCTGAAGTCTTAAGCTCTTCACAGCTTGAAAGACATCTAGGAGTCCCTCGGCTTTCACTCGTTCCAAAATGTTGCTGAGTGCTATGAATGTGCCTGTCCGCCCTGCTCCCGCACTGTGGAGGGAACGTTCATAGTGAAGGCAAAGCAAGGGAGATCACACATGGGGAAGAAGAGACCTGGGCACTTACCACCCCACCCCACCCCTGTGTGCCAGGGCAGAACTGAAGTACCAGTCACTGAAAGGCACCCGCATCTGACTGCATCTTTGTGTTTGATGCTGTGTATGTTCATATGCATGTAAATGTGTGTGTGTGTGTGTGTGTGTGTGTGTGTGTGTGTGTGTACACATGTAGAGGCCAGAGGTCTATGTTTGTTGTCTTACCCTATAGCTTTCCACCTTCTTTTTAGACGTGCTCTTTCACTGAACCTAAAGCTCACTGTCTTGGCTGGGCTGGCTGGTCACCAGGCCACCGGGTTTGACTTGTGTCTGTGCCTCACTAGCACTGAAGGTCACAGATGTGCACCACCTCAGAAGGCTTTTTATGTGGGTAAAGACTCATGTTCATCCAGCAAAACACTATATTGACTGAGCTGTCTCCCAAGCCCCTTGACTGCAGCTTAAAGGATCGCTTATATACGGTAATACAGCAAGACTCAGCAAACGGAACTCTGCTTACGCTGCTCACTTCTCTAAGCATAGTAGTCAGACAGCACCTGACATGGATGGGGACCGCTTAGAGACTTTTAAGTGGTGTTTACAAAAAGTACGGTCCTCTGGCTGTCAGCTCAGCATTGCCTGGGATGCATTAGAAATGCAAACTTTCTCTTTTAGTGACAAGGAGAAGAGTTCCTGGCAAGTGCCAAGGCCTGGATTCTGGAACATTGACATCTAAAGGTGACGTTTTAGGGATGGCATGATAGGAAATTCTCTGGTAGGAATAGTGGGCTCTCCTAAAGATGGTGCTTGGCCTGATGAGCCAAGCCCCACAGAAGAGATCTAGGAGAGGCTAAAGAAGGCTCCAGGCCAGCCTTTTCTAGTGCCCCCTGGCGGGGCATGGCTGTCCTTGGACCTCTTGGAATCTCCACAAATGTGGGCCTACTCTGATGTTCAAGATCTACTGTTGTGGTCCCCATGGCTACTACCTGCTGCCCCAGGCTTGCAGAATTTATCTCTAGCACTGCAGAGCAAAGAGACACTTATTTCTAGTTCATTCATTCTCGGAGCTCTGCATAGGCTCCTGGGACTGAAAACTGAACTGTGAGCGCCACTTGCTGGCCAGGCATGGAGTACACTAGGTGGGTTATCCACACAGGGAGAGTATCCATCCCTCTCATTAAACAGGGGCTCCTTGGACACCAGGAATAGGGTAATGGGTGAAAATAAAGAGTGTCCTAAAGTATGAGTCAAATGTTCAGGAAATGAAACAACCACAGCTCCAGCAGCTAGTGAGAATCACCCCAAAATAAAAGCATCCTAAACTGCTGCTTGCCAGGGCTTTGCAAGTGTGCAAAGATCACTGCAGCAGGTAGCATAGTGTTGGCAGGACCTGCCCAGCCAGGGATGCAAGGGAGCTATGGATCGGTCATACATTCACTCTTTCTCCATATGTTGCTTGCCATAGGCCTGGTTAGTTGCTGTCGCTAGGGTCATCAGGAATGCGTCCCTGGAGCCTGACTATGGGTATGTGAGTGGTGGAACATGTTTACTTTAGAGATCCAAGCCTGGAGTCTGGGGAGATGGTTCAGTCAGAAAAGTACTTTCTATGCAAGCATGAGGACTTGAGTTCAGTCTCCAGACACTCCATAAAAAAAGCTGGGCACGCCCTGGGGCTCCCTGGCTAACCAACATCGCTCAATCAGCAACTATAAAATCAAGTGAAAGTGGTTCACACCTGAGGAAGGAGACCCGGGCTTGGCCTCTGGCCTTCATGGGTTACATTTATGTACCTCATGATCATACACACACAGATACCAGGGTGGGGCTATTCATGGGGTCCTCGTATTCCATCCTGTGCTTTCAGTCAGCTGCACTGAATGTTTTCCAAGCCAGGGGAGAGGGCGGGCAATGATGGTGGAGCAGCTTGCGCCAGAGCTGCCTGTCAGAGTGCACACGGGCCAGCTGAAGTCCAGAAGGGTGTCTGAGGGCTTTGCCTGGGAAGTTTGTGTGACTTCAACGGGACACAGTACCCTGTGCCCATTCTGACTCCTCCTAGAATGTGCATTCTGCATGAGTAATGAAGTGGTTTTGGTGCACATCTGTGAAGTTAGGTGTGCCTGTATAAAAGGGAAGGTGACCCATGGTCTAGGGAAACCATCTCCTGAGAGCAGCTATCCAGCTCCCCCTAGCTGCAGAGTGGGTCTCTAGAAACACATGGGCCACTTTTGCGGTCCGGCCAGGACGGGGCACTCGTGGGGGAGGGGCAGCTCACCTGCAGTGCACCGTGATCGGGTGGTTGCCTGTCTGCTGCTGCTGCTTCTGCACGGCTGCGATGAGGTCGATCATGCCTTTGCCCTCAGCTGGGATTCCAACCTCAGGCCAGCCGTGGAAATGGAATTGTCTTACCATGCGGATCTGCTCTTCCTGGCGGGCCAGGGGCTACAGATGGGAGAGAAGTCTCAGTGGTAGCTGCCTTACATGCCTGGCCCTGGGTCCTCCTGGGTCTCAAAGCCCCACCTAGGCAGTCCAGGGGACTGGCTAGCAATGACTACGCTTCCTTCTAGACCCCACTAGGCTCTGCCCAGCCCTCTCAGGGGCCTTGTGCTTCACTCAAAGATAAGACTCATGTTTCTTGGGAAGTTAAGTTCTGAGTTCCCATCAAGGGCTGGGGGCAAGCCCAGCAGCTCAGGCAGTCCACTGCTGGCCCGGAGGGAAGAAAATATTTGCACAGGTATAGCTTTCCTGGACTGATTGTCTCAGTTCAGGATTAAATCCAATTGAATCCAGCTTGTCAATTCTTCTACCTCTCACTGAGCCAGACAGCCCAGGCTGTGTGGTCAGGGTTCCTTGTCCAGTGTGGACAGGGACAGCGAGAGGTTCTGGAAGGGACCCAAGAGGCCTCTCTACCTTCCTTCAGGCCCATTGTTCCTCCATCCTCAGCTGAGGTCACTCTCCCCAGAAGCAAGGCCCAGTAAATTAACCTCTTTACTATCGGACTCATCCTCCAGCAGGAGGCAGGTGGCATAGAAGCCAGAACTTCATAGGCTACCTGCCACCAGATGCTCCACTGGCCCCTCGTGGTTCCCTGGGACTTAGGAACAGGTGGATGGTGACAGGTACAGGGCCCACCCTGATATAGTAGTGAGCACATACAGAGTGATGGTGCTTCCTGAGGTCCACTAGAATTTGGGGGAACCACAGCAATAATACCTGTTTAAAGGTAACCAGGAAGTCTCGTATGCTGATGGCTTCAGACAGGGTGTCGCTCTTTATTTCTATAGTTATATCTCCATGAGTCACCGAGCCCTCTGTTGGCCAATACTGGTAGCATTTATCCTAGAGGGACAAAATACAATGTTTTGTTGCCTCCTTATGGTGCAGTACTGATGCTGGGCCATTTCACATGACCAGAACATCTTATGTGAACATGGATATGAATCCCATTAATGTCTGTTGACCTTGAGCAGAGAACGGGTCTGGAAAGACACTGATATACAGAACTTTGATACATGGGAGAAAGGAAGATTTACTCAATGGGTGGAATGTTGTGGAGTATTTGTTTACACTTGTGAAGATGTTTCACTGTGACTGGTTTAATAAAGAGCTGAATGGCCGATAGCTAGGCAGGAAAGAATGGGTGAGACTTCCGTGCAGAAATAGGAACTCAGGATAAATCTAGGCACGTGAGAGACGCTAGCAAGACACTGAAGAAGTTGGACATACAGTACAGAGAAGAGGTATCTGAGCCACCTGACAGAATGTAAATTAATAGAAACAAGTTAATTGAAGTTAAAAGAGCTAGTTGGGGAAAAACCTAAACTAAGGCTGAGCTTTCATAATTAATAATAAGTCTCTGTGTCATTATTGGGGATCTAGTGGTCCCAAAGAAAGTCTGGCTACAGTGGAACTGGAAGATGAAATCCCAGACTCACTGTGCGAGGTTGACATGAACACCGGAGCTTCTCCTAGAACCAGGCCAGTAAACAAACAACATTAACCTATATTTCAACTTGACCTGGAATACTCTTTTATTTTTTGTGTCTCACTAAATAAGAAGGCATAAAAGACGAACCAACCCTGAGGCAAAAGACAGAAATACCAGCTTCCAATGAAGTTCACTTTGCTTTGTCAACAACCATCTCGCAAGGAGTAAAGGGGAGGCTGCTGAGTGCAGCAAGATGCTCACCTCATGAAGCCAGCACAGGAGGAACATCCACCATATGTAAAGAACTCTTAAAGCAATAGGAAGGCAAACAGCCCGGTAGAAAAACAGGGACTTTGATAGTTAATCTTTTCTCTCTCTCTTTTTTTTTTTTTTGGTTTTTTGAGACAGGGTTTCTCCGTGTAGCTTTGCGCCTTTTCCTGGAACTCACTTGGTAGCCCAGGCTGGCCTTGAACTCACAGAGATCCGCCTGGCTCTGCCTCCCGAGTGCTGGGATTAAAGGCGTGCGCCACCAACGCCCGGCCGATAGTTAATCTTGATTGACACTTTGATGAGGTTTAGAATCACCTGGGAGACACACCTAGCCTCTTGTGAGGGTGTTTCCAGAGAGATTCAACTGACAGAGGAAAACACACATTGACTGTAGGTGGTATCACTCCATGGCCCGGAGTCCAGAGTGAATGAACAGGAGGAAGTGAGTGGATCACATGTGCCCATCTATCTGCTTCCTGACTGCATCTGCAATGTGACCAGATGCCCTGTGCTCCAGCTGCCATGATGGATTTTCTTTCAATTCATGAGCCAAAATAAACCTATCTTTCCTTAAGCTTTTTTTTCTTTACAGGTGCTATATCACAGCAGTGAGAAAAATAACAAGAGAGGTAAAAAGCAAGGGATGCATTTTATACAAGAAAGAAGACATCCATAGATATGTAAGGTGATGTTCCACCTTGTAGAAATGAGAGAAATGCCAATAAAAGCCATGAAAAGCTAAATTAACATTCACTTAGCAAGGACCAGAGTGCCTGAGAACTCCGCGCACTCTCAGAACACTAGCCATGCCAATGACTATGTCTCATTCATCACTGATAGTCACTTTAAAAACCACTTTGGACAGCAACCAGGCATTCTCACTCTTGGACAATCTGCAATCTGACATTTTGTCTACCTGGCTCCTGCTAACCACTGGCAGCAAGAAGCATGTCATCACTGCTCACCAAGCAACGGGATGGAACTGGGGCCGCTGTCGAGGATGTAAGAAGGGCTGAATAAGTGGATGCAGGATGTATGTTTGTAGCAGAATACAAGGAAATAGTGGCTGAGTCCCAGTCACAGACATAAGCATAGGAGAACAGCAGAGTCACCACTCTATTTAGAAAAATCAAGTCTCAGGAGATTACACACAATGGAATTCTTTATATAAAGTTGCAGCACAAGCAGAATAAAGTAACTGCTTCTTTAGGCATGAATACATATGATTTAAAAGTGCCCCCCCCCCCCCCCCCCGCGGGGGAGTTGTTGCCTGTCCTTGAATTTCCCTTGTAGCAGAGGATAAGAGAAATTCTCTAAGCCTCCTCTGCCACTTCCCAGTGCTGGGATTACAGGTGTTACTACTTTATCCAGCTGATTCCATGCCCCCCTAACAAAACAAATGATATATCCACCAGGATAGCTTTAATCAGGAGGACAAAACACCAGTGTTGTCAGGAATGTAGACAAATAGAGCCCTTGAACACTGAGATTGGGATTGTAAACGGGGATGAGGTCAGAGGCTAAGAGCAGGTACTGGTTTTTTCAGAGGACCAGAAGGTTCTCAGCATCCCTATCAGGCAATGCACCATTGCCTATAACTCCAGCTCTAGGGGGTCTGACTCCCTCTTCTGGGTCTTTGTGTGTACCTGCACTCATATGCATGCCTCCCCGTCCCCACCCCCAGCACACAATTTTAAAAAAAATCTTGAAAATCTTGAATGATCAAAGTTTATGATATGAAGTTATATTATAAGGAAGTGATTTCACTCGTAGGTATGTGGATGAGAAACACAAAAGTTATTCCTGCACAAAAACTTGAACACAAATGGCCACAGCATCAGTATCCCAACACCCCAAAGTGGAAACGGCACAGGTATCCATCAACGGGTGAACAAGGAAATGCAAGTTGCATCACCATTCACAAGATGGAATATATCGTCAGTGAAGAAGTCTGCACTGAGTGCACAGTCTTACTCGGGACATCTATATCAACTCTGCCCCAATCCTGGACTCATTGAGGCTCAGGGAAGGAACATCATGGAAGCTGGAGTAGAAAGAATTTAAGGGCCAGAAATGGGGAGGGGTGTGTGAAATTCCTTTCATGAACTCACTGCAGCTATAGTTCCTGGCTCAAGAACCACTCACAAGCAAGCTGACAAAACCAGTCCACATTCCAATAGGCAGCATTAATTGGGACTTGGTGGGTTACAAGAAAAAGGAAAGGAGAGGAGAGGGGGACTTGCTGGGGGTACCTGAGGGAAGAGGGAAGGGAGCTTGGGGAGACATGATCGAGATACATTGTTCATGTATGTTAAATAGTTAGAAAAGAATGAAGTCCAGATTTATGCTAGCAGTGGACGAGCTTTGATGCCATGATGGCAGATGAGGACTCACTCCTGAAACAGCCCCCTCTGTGTGACTGCATTTACAGTAGCGTTCAGAAAAGCAAGTCAGTAGAGTCAGGAAACTGGCCAGTGTTGTCTGGGGCTGGGGCAGGGAGCAATGAGGTGACTGTTAATGGAACAGTGTTGCTTTTTGAGATGGTAACTGTGATTTGACAGAAGGTATGTTTGCCCAACTCTATGAACACATTAAACCCTAACAAGCTGTTTCCTTAAAAAGATGGATTTCTTTCTGAGTGAAAGCATATCTCAGTAAAGTTTTTGTTTGTTTGTTTGTCTTTTAAATTTTTTAAAAAGATTTATTTATTTTATGTATATGGTATTCTATCTGGATATATACTGCATGCCAGAAGAGGGCATCAGATCCCATTATAGATGGCTGTGAGCCATCACGTGGTTGCTGGGAATTGAACTCTGGACCTCTGGAAGAGCTGCCAATGCTCTTAACCAATGAGCCATCTCTCCAGCCCCAAGTTTGTTTTTTAAAGCAAAGAAATCAAAACATAGATTCAGGGTCACGGCCATGTCTTGGGATAACACTCAGAGAGGCGCTCGGTGCTAGTAAAGCATATTTTTCTGGGTTCGTGACATTATCAGGCCACAGGTGGGTCTCTGGGAAAATGGAAATGCCAAAGTCATCTAACTTCATTAGGACAACAACCAGGGGCATAGATCAATGTCTGCCTTTATGTCTCGCAGACAGTAAGTAAATGCCTTTTGCATTCACAGGCTGTGACCTTGACATTTAAAAAAGTAGCGGCACATCAAGGCAAGTAAGTGTAAGGGTATGGAAGGCCAAGGCTGTTTATGGCCAACCACCCTTCCACCCATCAAAAGCAAAGATGAAGTAAGATCTCAGTCATCCCAGCCTCCTCCCCTCCTCCCTCCCTCCCTCCCTCCTGAGTCCTCCCGGCTTGATCTCCCTTATGTGTTCACAGGCTCCACACTGCTGAGGCATCATATCATTAGCTACCTCCCTCACATACATCCCGTGCACAGATGACCTGCTCACCTGCTCCCGCTCCTGCACCTCGGTCAGCATGACGATCGTGTGTGATTTCCACTCCCACACCATCCTCCAGAAGTCCTCAACTGTGTGAGCCAGAGGCCCCTGTGTGGCCATGAAGTAGTCCTTCTGCCTGTAGCCCTTGAGGGAAGCAGAGGTTAGGGGTGAGCTACCTGTCCCCAGAGCTACCACCTCCACAGACACACAGGACAGCCCTAGGCTGATGTCAACAACTCCAACATTCCATGGCCTGAACAGAAGGCTTGCTGTCACAGACGCATGCCCCAGCCCACAGATACACCCATGAAGCAGGAACTGCCACTTTATCAGGGTGCTGAGGTTATCTCTAAGGGCTATCAGAGGCTCTAGGTTACCAGCATTCGGTGGCCTTGCTCTTAATGGGCTTTTGTGTGCCATAGCTAGATTCTCATCATGGTGGTCCAGAGGGCCTTGGTGTGGAGCTAGAGCAGGGGCTTCTAGTCTCAACACCTCCATCTGTCCCCTCAAGTGCAGCAGAAGAGCTAATAGGCTGTTGGCCATAAGGTTCTTTCTTGTCTTTCTTCCAACTCCACTGTGCATGGAGACCGGCCCCAGCTGTGTCCCTAGATAAATCATCACCCAGTCTATGTGGGTTCACAGACATCATTCAAGAGCCAGCACACGCTCTGCACATATCCATCTGTGGTGTCACACCTATGCAAATATGGAGAAGCTATCCATCAAAGGTCACGTGGAAACAGCCAATTAGTCAGCAGTGAGACTAGGCCCCAATTCTAAAGCTCCGTCGTCGTGGGTATTCATCCCGCCAATAGCTTTGGAGTACCAAATCTTTTAAAGATTTATTGCTTTTTAATTTTATGTGCATGGGTGTTTGCCTACATGTAGGTATGTGTACCATGTACATGCCTGGTGCCTGTGGAGATCAAAAGAGAGCCTCAACTCTCTCGAAACTGGAGTTCCAGTGGTTGTGAGCCACTGTGTGGGTACAGCAAACCAAACGCAGGCCCTCTGTAAGAGCAGCAGGTGTTCTGAGCTAATAAGGCATCTTTCCCTTATTTTGAAAATTTGAAGCAGGGTTTCATATAGCACAAGCTGGTCTCAAAATCCCTATGTAGCTGAGGCTAGCTTTGAGTTCCTGATATTCCTATCTCCAATCCTCAAGTCTTGGGATTACACGTGTGTACCACCACACTTGGCTCACGGTTTATTATTTTAAAAACAAGTAATTCTCCTAAGAAAATAGTGTGCCGATGCCTCCTACTGTGTGTAGAGCAAGGCTCACACTCAAGAGCACGTGTTCCTACAGGAGGGAGTCACACGTTGCACCACACACACACACACACACACACACACACACACACACACACACACACACGGAGCTGCAATACATACATCAATGAAGGATGCGTTGATATAGTCTGTGTATTCTTGCCCTCTTTTCATGGAGAGGATTACCCGATTGAAGTCATCTGCAAAGTAGGATTCCCTTTGTTAGGGTAGATACCACCCTGCCTTATAGACTATGATGGTCAAGGTTAATAGTCAGCTTGGCAAGATCTAGGCTGGCGAGGAGATGGGCCTGGGGCCAACTGTGGGGGTTACCTTGGTTCCATTAACTGATGTGAAGACCCATGTTAATTGTGGGCAGAGTCATTCTCTGGCCAGGGACTCCTAGACTGTGCCAGATGGAGGAAGTGGGATGAGCCGCAGCATGTGCTCATTGCTCTCAGCTTCCTGACTGCAGATGTCATGTGAGCAGCTGCTCCAAGTTCCCTCTGCCTTGACTTCCCCACCAGGATGGACTGTACCCTGGAACTGTGAACCAGACTAAACTCTACTTTAAGTTGTTTTTGTCAGGGCATTCCATCATAGCAACAGGAAAGGAAACTAAGGCACAGACCAAGACTATTAATAAAGCCAACTCTTAGGGATGTTTCCGTTATCAAATAGGTTCATAAAGTGGTTCGGGGAAGCTCTGAAAGCAACCCAATTGTCATTTTCATTTTTCATGAATCAGTGAAATATGTCCCCAAACAGAAGCATTAAAAATACTGCATCTAGCCGGGCGGTGGTGGCGCACGCCTTTAATCCCAGCACTCGGGAGGCAGAGCCAGGCGGATCTCTGTGAGTTCGAGGCCAGCCTGGGCTACCAAGTGAGTCCCAGGAAAGGCGCAAAGCTACACAGAGAAACCCTGTCTCGAAAAACCAAAAAAAAAAAAAAAAAACTGCATCTAGGAACAAAGGGAGGGTAACCAGATAGGAGCTGGGGCTGGCAGGGGACACACTGAGGCCACAGAGAAGCAAGGGCTGGAGGCCAGGGGACGGGGGTGGATTGCCTCGTCTCTTGGAACTCTCTGCTTCTGGAGAAGAGGCGGCCGTGATGAGAAGGCCTGTTTACAGCCATTCAATGGTGGTGAGCTGTTGCTCCACGGAGGGCACGAAGAAACATGGTGTGTGACGTGAACTGCCGTCTCTTCAAGCCAGTGCTTCCCACATGCTTCTCTAGTTGTGTTTGCCCACATTTCTCTTCGTTCCCCACCTCATGGGGGAGGGGGTGGGGGAGAGGTGAGTCCCTCCATGCCTACTGTGGGTCTTTGCCTCAGTCATCCCAACCCTCAATGGCAGGCCAGAGTTAACTCTACCCTAGGTCAGTGTTATGCAGTCCCCAAGGCAAGGTTTTTTTTTTTTTTTTTTTTCCTTGAAGGACTTAGCTGAATTCATTTTTGGTCTGATTTAGTCCTTTGACAAGTGCGTGTTCTTGGCCATGCTATTTACTCTCACCTGTGTAAGCGGGGAGGTGTCTCCAAGCTCTAGAAAGCACTGGTGAGGCACCAGGTCATATCTGAGGCAAGCTTCTTAGTGGACCCTCCCTATAAAGCTCAAGTGTCTTGCCTTTGAGTCACATTCTAGGCACCACCTGAGACCCTCACGGGTCTGTGGAGAGTTCCCAGAGTGCCCTGGGAGGGTCATTTCTTCCTTGTGTTGGACACAGAGGCACTTGCTCCCTAGTAGGATGTTCAAAGGTGGGTGGTTCAGGGCCTGAGGCCTACATGCCCACTGGCTTACATGGAATGATCTGGATGACGCGGGCCTTCTTCATGTTGGCAGGCAGGTTGCCAGTCCTCATATTCTCCTTCATGATTCGCACGTTGGTCAGTTTCTGCAGCCAAGGAATGTAGTTAGAGCAAAGGATGACAGACCTGAGGCAGGGGACTTGCTCAGAAGGTTGTCTCCATCTCCAGAAGTGGCCTTGGCATTGGGGGTCTAAGGGATCCTACATGTAGCTTGCCCTGTCATTCTTCCCCAGAAGCCCACAGCCTGACACCCGTCTCCTAACTCTCTGACCACAAGAGGCCATTTTTCCTGGCTCCTTAGCCACCGACCGCCGCAGGACAAGGACTCACCCTGAACTCGTCTAGGGTGTGGAAGACTCCCCGAGCACTCACCCTGAACTCTTCCTCCAGCCCGATCTTGTCAAAATGGGTGGCTGTGCTGTGTAGCGTCTGCAGGTGTCTCTCCAGGGAGGACACATCCAGCTCTGTGTCCCCATAGAGGTAGTACTCCAGTAAGGCTTGGTAGATGAATGTGTACTGTACCTGCAGGGAGACAGGGGGTGCTGCTCAAGTCTGCCCTGGGCCCAAAGAGTGCTCCCTTCTTCCGCTGGTAAGAGAACGTTAAAGGACAGGAGCCCATTAATGATCATGTAGACTGGTCGTCTAGGGTAAAGTAAGATGACAGTAATGGCCGCTGCCTCCCTGGGGGCCCCCGGGGCTATGCCAGCCGCTTAGAACCGCCCTCATGGCATGTGAACATACTAAGGATCAGAGTCACCAGTCTTTGAGACTCTGTGGGAGGTGATGACAGAGTGGGAGGGACATCAAGTCTGACACTGGGCATGCTCGTAGCCTATGGCCACCTGCTTTGTCAAAACCAGGCCTATAAGCTGGGCCTGGGGGTGCGGGTTTAAAATCCCAGGTATTCAGGAAGCTGAGATCTGAAGATCACAAGCTCAAGGGCTGCCCAGGCTGCAGAGCCAGGTCGAGGCCAGGCTGGGCAGCTCAGTAAGATCAGGACTCAGGGAGTAAAAAAATGGCTGAGAATACAGCTCAGTGGTAGAGTGAATTCACATGACAGACCGGGGTGCAGTACCTGGTATTGTAAAAACAAAATCAAGACAATAACAAAAACACAGTAAAAAAAAAAAAAATTTCTTTTTTTAATGGGCCTCTGGAGTAGGGCAAAGGCACCTGAGTGCTCTACGATGCCTAGGCCAGAGCAGGAAGAGGTGCCACTCACATCCGTCTGGACCATCTGAGGGCGCTGATTGCGGATTCTAGACACAAACTCAAAGACATCCACCTTCTGTTCTGAGTGTATCATGTCCATCATGGCGTCGATCACAATGAAAGTGCCTGTCCGGCCCACGCCCGCGCTTCAGGGAGGAGAAAGATGCCACCTCGTGAGTCACATTCCCCTGAAGTAAATAACAAGCCTGGGAAGATGCCTGAACCTGGGGACAAAGGACACAGCCTAGGGCAAAATTAAGTAAGGTACAGCTTGGGGGAATAAGGAGCAAATCTGTGCAAGGCCACCAGAGGGCACTGCAGCCCCAGTAATTTAGCTCAGGACCAGAGACACTGAAGCTGTGAGAGTGTGTGTGTGTGTGTGTGTGTGTGTGTGTGTGTGTGTGTGTGTGTGTGTGTGTGTATTGTTTATTACTCCTACCCCCAAACACTATCTTCTTGTTACCACCGTGGTTGTGACCTGGTATGGGAACTGAATGATCCTTGGGGTATCAGGTAGTACAGAGGACAAGGCAGTGGATCTGCCCAGAGCTCCCGTGCCGGCCACCAACCTGAGCCTGTCAGCTTTGAAGAGGTTTATATATTGGGGTTCTATTCAGACATCACTGGGGCAGGGCATGTGTTCCAGCGACCAAGTGGGGTAGCTGCTGGGAAACTTCTTGTCCACCAGCCCTAGCTCTGCTCACCCAACACTGTCCCACTAGCCACCCCACTGTGACTGCCTGCAAAGGTCCTGCCCCTCCCTGACATACCTGCAGTGGACCACAATGGGCCCAGCATGTGAGGGGTTGAGCGTCTTCACTTTCTTGAGGAACTTCAGCATTCCGATGGGGGTGAAGGGTACCCCAAAGTCAGGCCAGCTGGTGAAGTGTAGCTGGGAGACCAGGCGTGGGGCTTTGCAGCTGTCCGGGAGTTGCTGCAAGGGATAAGGAAGAAGTGAGAGGGGGCGCCCCCTTACCCCGACCACTCAGCCTCTCCTTCTGAAGGACTGCTGAGGCTCATGCCAGGTCAGTGTCCACAAACACAGAGAGCCCTGGAACACAGGGGCGCCGTACCAGCTGTGAGTATGCACAGCTCTTGGATGGCAAAGGATTCCCACAGCTGCTTATTCCCAGGCCAGAATCCCAGTAGCCCCGCATCTCAAAAGCTGGTCCTAATGTTCAGATATTCCAGCTCTGAGGTGGGTCTCTCTGCTCTGTCTGGACAGTCCCACCTCACTCCTGGGGAGCTGAGTCATCACTAGCATATTCTTTTTATTTTAATTTATTATTTTTTTAAATTATTTTTTTTCTTATATACAAGCGTATTCTTTAAGTCTCATAGAGTCAGTGTGGGAAGAAAAGATGAAGGTCCAGACCCTCCCTCATAGATTCTTCAAGCCTTTGAAGCATGGTTCTCCTGACCCTGATGGCAGAAGAAGACAATATCAGTGTGTTTAGAACTCTGTGTGTGTGTGTGTGGGGGGGGTGCTGTGTGCATGCACACTTGCATGCATGTGTACTCTGTGTATCTAGAAAAGAGGTCAGCAAGGGATAATAATTTTGGGATGGCTCACAGCATGCTAGGTACATACTCTACCACTGAGCCACACCTCCAGTATCCTTTCAAAACCTTCTGCAGTGGCTTGTAGAAACTTCTGTTCAGATATTGCAACCTAATCACACCATTGCTCTACATTTGATCCCTGATAAAATGGCCTATCCCTGAAGTCTTCATTTCATCTGCCTTTGTTTCCAAGCATTTTTATTGAAGGCTGTCATGAAACAAGCATGAAAAACACAGGGGAGATTCTGAACATAATTTTGACACCATTATAAAACACTCCTGTCACTGGACATGGTGGCTCACATCTTTAACCCCATCACTTGGGAGGCAAAGGCAGATGGATCTCTGTAAGTCTGAAGCCAGAGTGCTCCATAAAGAGTTCTAGGCTAGCCTGGACCTTATAGTGAGACCCTGTCTCAAACAAATAAACAGAGAGACAAACAATCTTGTCTCACAATGCTAGGGTATAAAAGACCTCATACTGGACCCTGGTAGAGCTTGGTGCACAGTGCCTGCTTAGTGCAGTGGGAAAGGCCTCCCACTGAATCCCCTACCTCTCCAGTTGGCTCACCCACCTCCTAGGGAGGCCCATGACAGTTACTGGGAGTCTAAGTGCCCAGCACTCGGCAGATCAGGTCCTTGATCACTCATTAACTCTGCCCCATTCTGTCCCATGCCCCAGCCCTGCAGCCACAGCGTCAGTGAGAGTTCCTGCCATGCTGGGGGCAGGGCGAGGCAGGGCAGTTCTTCACACTGTAAAGCCCCCCAACCTAGCTCCCCGAGAAGCCAACGTGAGACATTCATGTGTACCGGATGGATGCAGAACTTGCGGACGGTGTAGTCCACCAGAACCACGCAGTCCTCCACACACACCCGGATGTTCCCATAGGTCCAGCAGCCCTGGTCCGGCCAGTACTGGTAACACTTCTCCTGTGAGGAGCAGTGAAGGGAAAGAATCAAGACACAGTCCAACACATAGCCTCCCACGATCTGCACACCGTCAAGTGACCCAGGTCCGCAGTCAGCTCCCCAGGAGCTGGGAGGATTACCTGGCAAGGGCGTGTCTTTTATAAAGGAGGAAAGCAAGGCCTCACAGGTGACAAATGTGGCTGTGGTGGCCCAAGCAGAGTGTTTTGGGTTGGACAAGTAACATCTCATCTGCTCACTCCCTTATCCCTCACACCTTGTTACTCCAGCCATGCCTGTCCATGCTAAACTTTCTCCCTTTGGAGCTAGGGAGCCTGACCCCAACCACCCTCCGGCTGGAGTGAGCCCCATACTCCAGAATGCCCTCACTGGACATTTCCCTGGGGCCCAGCACTCTGTTTCTTTCTGGTCAAGCCACTCATGTTGGCCACCCTGCATGCCATTCATGAGGTCACACTAACATGGGAACCTATGAGGTGCTCCCGGCCACAGAGGCAGTTCTTTACCTGAGACAAGCCCTAGAATCTCTCAGGCAGTAAGTTGTGAGTTAGCACAGCATGTGGACCAATGGGGACCACACCAGAGGGGAAAGAACTGCACAATCTTCCTTGGAGAAATCTCTAAAATTTAGCATGTCTTCAGGCACCTCACCTCTTGTCCTAGAAATGGCCGGTGGATGGCACAGCAAAGTGGCCTGTTCTCCAGGATCATCAGGCCCCTAAAGTAAAAGATGCCTGGCACCATGGAGCCCAGCATTCTTGTTAACACTGTGAGACGTACATCACCCCATCTGTGCGTCCTGACCTAAGCTGGCCTATAGCCACAGGGCATTGAACGTGGCCTATAGAGACACTTAAAGGTCTGGTTTGGGTGAGTCTTGGTCCCCCTGGGGTTCTCAAGCAATTCTTCCCAGAAAGGGTCCTGCAATGATAGGAACAGGGGTCTCAGGCCCCAGGGAACTCTTGGCTGCCCTACCCTCAGGCCTCCCTCAGGTCACAAGATGCCAGCTGGGTTTTGCAACGTACTGCCCAGGATGAGGACACTGTGGAGACCACAGTGAAAGCCACCAAGGAAAAGGAACTCTCTTGAGAAACGACTCCATCTGAGGTAGTGGGAAATGAGAGAACCGGCAGGCAGCCCTGAGTCACAAGGCCAGAAAAGCACAGCAGGAGGGTCTACGGGAGACTGAGATGGATGACACCACCCAGGACGCAGGCGGACAGAGGTCCTCTGCCTCTGCTTAGGGCTACAGTGGTGACCTTTGGGAGAAGCAGTCCTTGGAAGACCTGGTCTCTGTGGGCAGTGGGTCACAGAGATGCGAGGACTCCGATGAGGGTCAGTTTCCCTGTCTACAGGAGGGGGGTCCCTCCTCACAGGGCAGGAAATCTATGGTGAGAGCTCTGTTTTCCTCCTGTGGCTCTTTCCATTGGCAACAAAGGACAACAAGGGTAGGAGTCATGAAGGAAGTAAGAAGCAGCAATCCCCACTCTGTTCCCACTGTTTTCTCCCTGATGACGAGAAAACCAGAAATGGACACTGGACGTTTTTTCCCCGTGCTGCTGGGCACGGAGCCCACCAGTCAGGTGCCCCGGGGACAGGAGCACTTTGTGCCTATTCTGTCTATCAGTCCAATCTTTGTCTCCTGTGCACTCCAAGACTGGGTGTTCTACCCAAACCCTGTAGGCCCTGCCCATGTCCTCAGCACATGGGGTACCGTGAGGACCAGGCTAGTGCCACCCGTGCAGAGAGCCTTGTGTGGCGACCCAGCAGGCAGATGCCTTCTGCCAAGCTGGGCCTTCATGCTGGAACATGCTAGAAGCACAGTCTACTAGCTGGGTCTCCCCACCTGAGGAAGCACCCCTCAGGCTTCCAATTCCCCTTTCACTTGGAAAAAGAGTTCGGTGCCAACAACAGGTCTGTCAGGGCTTCAGATCTCCCGGGGCTCTGGTGCTCTCCCAGGGCTCTGGTGCTCTCCCCTCCAGCCTGCATCTGAGCCATTTCCTGGCACTGGGAATGGAGACTCAAGCTCAGCAGATGCTACCAGGGTCTGTTTGATAGGAGACAAGGCAACCGTACCTCCCGTTCCTAGCTGATGCTTTAAATTCAGGTGTACAGGCACGCCTTCCATGTGCCTGTCATTGGCAACCATTTCTCTAGTCTAGGAAAGGCCTGGGCAATGGCATTCATTGGCAGCCAGGTCCATCACATGCAAAACACACCAATACCTTTCACTCTAAAGTCTGTTCCTCTCCAGTGGGATTAGAGCTCTGGGTGCCCGAGACAATCTTCATACAAGGAAGGGAACTATGATTCCTTATGTTAGAGCAGGACAGTGAGGTATACAAGTGTGGAGAACTGACTTCAAGATGGGGTGCTGGAAGGTCTGGGTGCTGTTTACCCCTAACTAATAGAAGAGAGGTGTCCAGGTAGAAGAAGTGGTCAGGGCCTCCCTGGTGAGTGCCAGGCCACAAGGAAAGGCTACAGGGGTCAGAGCAGGGGAACTTACCTCCTTCCTTTCCTTCAGATTGGTCAGCATGACAATGGTGGCTGACTTCTGCTCCCAGACCATCCTCCAGAAGTCATTCACTGTCTCCTGTTTAGGGCCTGTGTGCAGAGGGGAGGGTCATCGTGGAGGAGCCACCTAAGCTCACCCCATGAATTCAGTCTTGGAAGGCTCACACCTTCCCCAGACACAAGACAGGCCCTGCAACCTGGAAGCTTGCTGTGTAGCAGGCAGAATCTGGGTGGCTATGTTGACTCACAGGCAAAAAGAAAGGGGGGGGCATGGGAGGACATTTGAGGGCCATCTCTGCTTTGCTTGTCATAGTAGCTGGGAGCCACAACAGAGTCCCTCAGAGTCACAGGGTCCTTCAGATGAATTGGAATGCAGATATGTGTGAGTGAGTGAGTGTGTGTGTGTGTGTGTGTGTGTGTGTGTGTGTGTGTGTGTGTGTGAAGGGGGGAAGGGAAGAGAGAGAGAGAGAGAGATCTGCTGTGGGATGTTCTGTATGGCAAATGTGTTGCTGATTAGTCAATAAATAAAGCACTGATTGGCCATTGGCTAGGCAGGAACTGTAGGCGGGACAAGGAGGAGAATAAAGCTGGGAAGTGGAAGACTGAGTCAGAGAGACACTGTCAGCCGCCATGATGAGAAACAGCATGTGAAGATGCTGGTAAGCCATGAGCCATGTGGCAAGGTATAGATTAATGGAAATGGATTAATTTAAGCTGTAAGAACAGTTAGCAAGAAGCCTGCCATGGCCATACAGTTTGTAACCAATATAAGTCTCTGTGTTTACTTGGTCAGGTCTGAGCTGCTGTGGGAATGGCAGGTGAGAGAGATTTGTCCTGACTGTGGGCCAGGCAAGAAAACTCAAGCTACAGAGATCAGGAAGAAGAAACTCCTCTGCCCTTTGTCCATTTCCTGTCTGAATTTGACACAGTGCTTACAGGTATAACAACTATTTGGCGATCTTCAGGCTAAGAGTTCTATGCTCAGGAGGAGGGGGCGGGGAGATAAAGAAATCCTTCCTCGGCAAGCCAGAACTTACGACAGAAACGCAGACCTTTTTTACGTTTCCACCAACGTTTGACAGATTTTTCTCTCATTAATGGAGGGCACGGTCCCCTGTGTGTAACAAGGGCTTCTATTTCTAGGGAATCTGGCCGTCGAGGAGGGGGAGGGAAGTCTAGTTTAGCTTCACTGACCCCTGGGGAGTTGCTGAACCTGGAAAGGCAGCCTCTGGCAGACTAGAAGGTTCTCTAAGCACAGGGTGGGTCTAGGTCCAAGGGTAAGGTCAGATTTTGTGGCTGAGCCATGGTGGCCATGACCTTCATCTAAAAGCCCCTCCATCCTGTTCTCCCCACAAACTAGGAGCCTTTAAGAGCTCAGACAGCTAAAGGAAGTAAGTCAAAGTTGCCTACTGAACGTGAGTCTCAGGGTGGCAGAAGGGCAACCAGAGGCCCCTTGTGTGTGCCGTGAAGTCCCAGAGGGGCACACAGCATGGGTGTCACACACGGCGACACAGTGGTGCACACACACAAAAAAACCCATATGAATCTCTGGTATTGCTGGCAGTTAGAGATTCGAATGACTTTCTAAAAATACGGCGCAGACATGAACTAACTCGAAAGCTTGCTTACCTTGAGCAGCTATGAATTTGTTCTTTTCTTTGTAACCCTAGAAAAATGAAGTCAGACCTGTAATTATCCAGGACAATCTTTGCCCAGGGGACCACTTTGCTCATAGAAGGGGAGGGAAGATTCGCCCCGGAGAATGTAGAAAACAAGGAAGGGTAATATGAAAACCAAAGCCACCAGCAACCTCAGAGATAACAGGTACTGTTTTCCTACAGCCATCACTATTCTTCTTTGTTGTTTTCTTGTTTTGTTTTGTTTTGTTTTCCTACACACACCCAAGCAGAAATACGTATGTTTATATTTCTCACTGGGCTCATGTATTGTCTACAAATCCTTCTATTTCCTTGTATTGTAAGTAAGACATTTAAAACCTTACATGATAATTTCAAAGAAACCTAAATTCATTCCGCGGCCTATTGTGGTTTGTCTAGTCAGACGCATCTGGCTGGTTCTAGTTTGTCAACGCTATAAGGAACTGGACTGAACACCTCCAGTGTCCACTGTGGTCATTATCCCCCTGGATCTGTTATCTTTGTGACTTCTGGTGAAGAGGCAAGCTGAGAAAACATGATGGCCTCACACTCTAGTGTGACCAAACTGCCCGAAGGGTGGTGACCACACACATACTCAGGATCAGAGAGAAAGGCACCCACACATCACACTCCAGACCCCGTCCCTAAATACCCAGTATCGGCTTCATGTCAGGCCAAGGGCAAGGAAGGCAGTCAACTCACATCTATGTAGGAAGCGTTAATGTAGTCAGAGCAGGGGATCCCGTCCACTTGGCTCAAAATCACTCTGGAATGATCATCTGGAAAAAGCAAACAACGCCACAGGGTTAGGACCAGGAGCTACAGGGGCCCAGGGTGTCTCATATCCAAGTGCCAGTCACTGGAAGGACGTTACCAGGTCTCCTCTTGAGGTCAGGGCAGGGTACCCCTGCCTTGTTGAGCCCTGCATGGTCCACCTGTGACTCAGCCAGGGGAGGGAGGAGGAGAGGTGGCCCCATGATCACACAGGCAGAACAGCAGGAGCAAAATGACCATGTTCTCATCACAGGTCCAAACGTTAACCACTGCAGTGCACACAGCAGGACCTCAGAATGAAGAACTAGGTTTTTTCATTCAGGCTTTCCAGAGGACTTCGGGGTAAAGGGCTTGAGACTCTGAACTCCAGTATCCATTCTTCACCATCTGCCCCAGGACTGGAGGGAAGCTGGGCTCGAACAGTTAGACCATTGACTGTGGAGAGTCTAGCTGGCTCAACAGGGTATTTTCCAGAGTGGGAGGGCAGCCAGAGATGTGTGTGTGTGTGTGTGTGTGTGTGTGTGTGTGTGTGTGTGTGTTTATGTATATTTGTGGTGCTGTGTGTTATGTGTTACACACACATGACATGTGTTGTATGGTATGAGGGTGATATTGTATGGTAGGGTGGGTATGTATGTTGTGAGTTATATGTGCTATGTGTGTGTGGTGTGTGTATTTTGTGGTATTGTGTGTTATATACATGTGGTATGTACGTATAATTCAGTGTGATAAGTATGTGTTGTGTGGTAGGGCATGCTGATTGTGAGTTTATTATGTGTGGTATATGGTACCATGTATATGTAGTGTATGTTGTGTGTATTGTCAGGTGTGTGGTATGATATGTTTTAGTGGACTATTTGTGTGGTGTATGTGGTGTGGTATATATATGATATATATGATATATATATATCATATATATATATGGTGTGGTATATATATGGCATGGGTATATATATATGGTGTGGTATACATATGGTGTTGCAGTGATGTATGTGCACACCAGGGAGCTGTGGCCCTGGTTCCTTCATGGCCCTTTCTTCCACAAAGACTTTGTCACTGTGTCAGCAGGTAGTGAAAAAGGTAGCTGAAGTGGGAAGGACTGTAATCCCAGCACTCAGGAGGCCGAGGCAGGAGGATTGAGAGTTCCAGGCTAGCTTGGGCTTTGGCTGTGGCCCACTTTACACAGAAGGCTGTTGGCTGGTCTGTGTGTGTTAACTCAGACTCCCTGATGGAGTTTCATTGCTGAACTATGTCCTACTTCAGGCGGAGGGTAGTGGCACAACTCTGGGGACAGTTACTAGCCCACACGTGCTGGGCAGGATGACAAACCCTAAATCCACAGCCACAGTTCTAGACACTCTTGCTCAGGGGCTCAGCGCCTCGGGGTAGAAACAGCTGTGGCCCGGCATATGTCATGCCGGCTGAAGCACGAGAATTTAGAATGACTTACACCGTGGAACAGTTACGGAAACACAGGACAAAAAATAACATCTGCAGACTTAGACTCTCACAGCTTCTAAGAGCTTCCTGCTTCTTAATCCTGAAAAGTCACATTTTGCTGTCAAAACATCACTTTCTAAAATTACCAGCAGTGGCATCCTTCCAGAAGAGGGCTATCAGGTTGCTGGCTACAGAGAGAGTCCCCTCAGGCATGAGTCTAGCCTCCGGACTCAGAGCACTTGACTCTGTCTTTGGGATTCTCAGGTCACGGCCAACATTGCACTTTAGCCCAGGGGCATCTTTGAACCTACTACAAGTCTGCCCTGGCTTGGGGTGGGCTAAGAGAGGTAGGAGGCACCTGGAGCTGTGAGCATTGGGTCCCCCCATCCCACCTTGCAAATCCTAACCTGACTCCATGAGATTCAGCTCACTGCTTGCCCCAGCAAGACCAACAATTCCATATAGCCAGACACGTCTCTCCTTACCCAGGATGACGCTCTTGGTCCCTGGCAGGCAAGATGTTTCCATGCCGTAGGAAACTCAAACCAACAAGGAACAGCTCACCAGTCCTGCGGAACACACCACGTACCCACAGTCCTGGACAGCTGTCAACACCCCAAGTCAAGTGTTACTCCTGGGTAGGACAGAGGTTGGCCCTCACCCTGGGGCAGGAGCGGGGGAATTTATGGGAAACATTGAACCAGACTGTTACAGTGCGGCCACGCTTTCACGTGGGGAGAGGGCAGGCTGATTTTCTTCTGTGACGCAACCCAGCCTTGTGCACAGCAGGAAGAGTTGGGGAAGGCACCCAGCCTGTTCTGGGATGAGCCCTCTGTGAGCTGAGTGCCCTACCTGGGCCTGCTGCAGGAGCTTGGCCATCCTCTCCATTCCCTTGAGCTCTCACCAGAAACTAGCACTCCTGTCTGTCAGCCAGTCAGTCTGTCTGTCTGCTTCTCTCTCTTTTCTTTTCTCCCTGGTTCTCCCCCTGCATCCTTGTTTTTCTCTCCTCTTTTTTTTTTTTTTTCCTTTTCTGAGACAGGGTCTCACTTTCCATGTAGCCCAGGCTGGCCTTGATATGGAGAGCTTCCTGCCTCAGCCTGGAGGCTGCTGGGACTACAGGTATGACCTGCCACCTCTATCTCAGAAACATTCCTGGTTAAGATTGTGAGCGTTCACTTTAGGGGGCAGTAGGTTTAATGATTAAGAGTGAAAGCTAGGTAAGATGACCAGAACGTCCTGGGCTCTAAGGTACATGGAGCTGTCCAATATATGATCCTAGACGAGAATTCTAGCACTTTCTGGAGATAGCTCTTGCCCACTGTCCGTGCTCAAGGTTTGTAAATGATTTCTGTAAAGCCCACCATGATCCTAGGATCTAACTATACCTCATGCCCCAAACACACGAGGGCCAAACCGAGGCATAAATTAAACTCATCAAGAATGGTGAAGCATTAAACTAGAAGTCAAAACTGACCTTTGAATATCTCAAGCTTCAGTTGACGCAAACCACTCTGAAGAGCCCAGACGCCCGCTTGCTTTTGCCTTTTTCTCCTTTGATCTATGAGTCACAGCACAGGTTCCCCCTCTTCCACAACCCACCCAGCAGTAAAGCCACTGCATCCAGAGTCTAAACCTGGGACTGAGCCACAGCATGGATGTCCCTTTTCCTTGGATTCCACAACCCACCCAGCAGTAAAGCCACTGCGTCCAGAGTCTAAACTTGGACTGACCCACAGTATGGGTCCCCTCTTCCTTAGATTCTACACCCCACCCAGCAGTAAAGCCACTATGTTCAGAGTCTAAATATGGGACAAGCCACCCTCACAGCCTGGCTGTACAACCACCCCCTCCTCCCTTGACTCTGACAAACTAAAGCCCATTAGTTAATTACTCTAGGTTTAGTTGGATCTGAGGATCGTGGTGGGCTTTACAAAAATCACTAAAAGCCTTGTACATGGGCAGTGGGGAAGAGCTACCTCTAGAAAGCTCTAGAAATCTAGGTCTTATATTGGATAGGTTACAGCTCCATGTACACACAGCACACCCAAGCTGACTGTGGCCAGCTCCCTGACTCCACCAGGCACTCCTCAAGAGCAAGGGTCTCTGGCACCAGCCGCAGGCCTCTCTTCAGGATGCAAGTCTGAGTTTTGTGGAGCTGTTTGAGGCTGCTCTTCCGTGGGTGGGCCTGAAGGGTAAATCTGTGGTTGGGGGGGGGGATGGGAAGGCTGCAGACTTGGCATCCTGGGCCAGCTTTTGAAAAGGCGGCTGAGAACACGCAGGGTTTGTCCTGGCAGGTGAGACAGGCACCTCAGGACTAGGCTCAGCCAGCTACAGCAGGTCACGAGAGGCCCAGCCCACAGCAGCCTGCACCCTAGCTTGACACTTCCTTGGCAACCACACTCCCCAGCTCATGGTTACTGTTTGCTGCTGAGGTTAGAATAAGATCTGTTAAGCCTTCTCTCAAGGGTGCCAAACCCATGTGGGCTTTTTATTCTATCATTTTGGCCTTTGGTTCTGGACCATAGAGCACATTGGGGATTTGTTCCTGGTAGTCTCAAAACACTGAATATGAAGGAAGGTGCTGCTCAAGGCCACCAACAGGCCTAGACTGGTGTCCAGGAGTGGATCTGACAGGAGAGGCCTTGCCCCTTGATGCCCAAGCCTGTGAGGAGCATTCCTGCCCAGCTTGCTTCCTGTATGCTTAGCAACCAGAGTGGTCAACAGCAACAAAGATGTCCACGCCCCATGTAGGGAAAAAAGGCCCTCAGACAGTGTGGCCCTGGATTCCCTGGGACGAGCACTGAGCACATGGTCACCGGCAGGCTGCAAAGCAGCGCCAAGTGTAACCTGCATGTCACAGATCACGCAAAAAAGAACAATAAACACCAACAATAAAGAAGTCTTACTGGGCAGAATGTTGGGATATCTGTTTTTTTCTCTGTTTTCTTCTTTATTTGCTAGATCGAAGGTTCCTTGTACATGTCCAGACGGCAATGACTGGAAGAAATGGAGAACAGAGTGAACACTAACGAATCTAAACCCAGGTCCCCATCAGTTTCCCTACCAAGCCCAGGCATTAAAACTACCGTCTGTCCATCATCCTTGTCTCTCCTCAGGCCCCACGTTAGACACTGGGCAGACAGTGAGTTATATCCTAAACTTTGTAAGGTCAAGAACTCACTCACACCACAATTCCATCATGCCCCAGTCCACACAGGTTTTAGCCCAGGAAGAGACTCCTTGGGTACAGGCAAACCGATCCCAAAGGAGTTCTGATGCAGGAGAAAGAGGGGCAAAGACTACCAAGAAGAAGGTGCTGAGACCCTGGCCTTGGCTGTGGGAGAGAAGGAGCAGGACTCTGGAAGTGACTGTAGTCACAGCCCTCGCCATACTTAGGACTCAGATGTCTCTGTGGATTGGGTCACGTCAGCAGGGGCAGGTCCAGAAGCTCCCTGGAAGTGCTGATTCTCCCAGCCTCCACCCCCAGGGCACAGAATCAGCAGCTAGGAGTTTGGGGCTCTTAGAGGCTCAAGATGCACCACCTTAATGACCGCTGTACCCCAGTTGAGGGGTGTCAGTGTGAAACGGAAGTTTCACTTTGCAAGCATGCTAACACTAAGAAGTGCCATCTCTGGGAGTTAAGTGGACACGTGGGTTTCTAGTTCCTTCTACCACCAAAGTCGCCCTGCCTCTGATTTTTGCTTGCCTCCAGTTGTTCGCCTCTTGCTTGCTTCCGGGTTCCTCGTCATATTCAGATGAGCTAGGGTAAAGAGCACTGTGTACTTCAAATCATGCCCTTCAACATTAAACCTGACTCCGGCTGGACCTCTGGGCTCCAAGGAAGAAGTGTTACTACTTACTGAGTGTGATGGATCAGGCACAGAGAAAATGTGTGGCTCTTCTGCCTCCCCTCACAACTAGCCTAAGATCTGATAACATGGAACCAGACCCAAGGACGAGTGGTTGGACATATGTTCAGCATCATTTGGCTGAAGAGGTAGACCCTGGTAGTCAGCCCTGGAGGGATTCCCTTACTCATGCATGGAGAAACATGTGAGCTTTCCTGTTTTCTGTGTCCCACTCCAGGTCCCCGGGAGTTGGGGTCTGGCTTCATAGAGCAGCCTCAGATGATAGCCATGACGTCCTGGGATTGCTCTCATTTGGGTCAGGGCCCTAACCTCCCTCTAGCAGGCAGGAACTTCTTCAGTGGCCAACTCAGTTCTCCCCAAGGGCTTACATCAGGATGCTGTAGGACACCCCCTCTCCTCTGCTCTGGGGCCACCACACCTTATAGCCACAGGCAGAGGCTTTGCCTATGCCAGTGTGGAGGGACCAGTCAGAGGTCATTCTAGCAATGCTAATGAGGAGTTCTCCACTTTGTCCCCAGTTCTGTACACTCACGTTCCTTGAGTTTTGATTCACTACCAGAGCTGGCTTGACACTACCTCCTTGGCCCGCACTGGACACTGAATTTGTGATGACATCCTTAGGCCTTCTCAAAAGGTTTTAGCCCTGAACACAAAAACCAGTCACAGTGGCACACGAAACCGTGCAGCTGGCAAACCCCACAGTCTGAGCCGATCCTAGGAGCTCAGTGACGACACTGCCAAGGGCGATTATTAATTGTAACAAATGGAGCACTGCCCTGCAGCGGGCCTATGGCAGAGGAACCTGCTCTATGGAGAGACGGAGTACACAAGAACTCTGCAGTGTGTATGTAATTTTTCTGTGTACTTGAAACTGCTCTAAAAATAAAGCCTACTAAAAACAACATACTGGATTAAACCAAGGAAGATGAAGTAGCTGCAATGCCCAGGAAGCCTGAGCAGAAAGAGGAATCAGGCTCTGATCACCACTTCCATAGCTGTGTGGCCCTGAGAGGTGGGGCATAGAGATGAGGTGGTACACCCTGTCCCCCCAGGGTTCTGGAGGACAGGATGAGGGGAGGTGGGCAGAACTTGGCAAAGTTCTCTGTGTCCTCCAGATCCGAGCAAGCTGAGTAGCCCCCTGCACAGACTGGGCCCAGGACGCTTTCCTGCTGTCAGGCTACCCAGGACCTCGGGGTTCTCAGCTGCTTGGTAGTCCCAGGGAAGTAAGAGTGCCTGGAGATGGTTAGCCTGCCGCGACTCTGTGTGCATTCTGTAGGAGGTCTGGTTTGTTCTATCAACACCAGAGGACAGCTCTGGTTTGTGATTATGCTGGGACTTCTACATACAAGAAAAAAACAAAAACAAAAATAAAAAGCCCTCCCTTTGTATGTATTTCTGCCGTGTTTGCCATAGCATAGGTCCCAGGCCTGTGGCTTGACACAGCTTGCTGGGACAAAGCTGGAGAAGATGCTCACGAGAGAGGGCTTCTCACTGCACAGGGGCCTCCTTTTCTACCGAATTCAGGAACTGGAAACAGGATAGAGATGCGCCCTCTCCAGGCGGAGCTAGCAGATAGCATCTCATCCGTGTGTTACCTGTTACTTCTCTCTTTATGTGTTATCCCAGTCCCACAGGGCAGGGAAAATCCTACTTCACAGATAAGGAAACTGAGGCAGAGGTGAAGAAAACTTGCCAAGTCTTCCAGGCCAGGATGAGTACTCAAGCCAGTTCCAGCCATTCATCCCACAGTACTGATGATCCGAGGCCAAACCCCTTCTTAGCCTCAAGTTCACAGTCACCTGAGAGTGAACGTGGGCTTGACAGTACAGGGATGTCTAAACACACGTTGAGACTTACCCAGATCCCTCCCAGGACCTTTGGAAGGGGCCATCAGACCAGAGAAAGGGAGGGGTAGGAAAACAGAACTTAAATGTGTTCTCTGAGAACCAAATGTGTTCTCTGAGAACCGGAGTGGCTGATCTGGGCAGCAGAGAGACGCTGCAGGAGTGTGGCCTTGGACGGGGTCAGTTCCTCACTGGAGTGATGAGCCAGGCTGTGTACGCTCTACGCCACAACTGTATCTCTAGCTGCCCGTTGCCAGGCAGGGAGACTCTGCACAGCTGAGGGCTACAGAGAGGCAGGCTGGGAGCGACAGGTGAGGGAAGAACTTGTTTGGGGTACAATATTTACAAGGCTCCAGAAAAAGCCAAGAATCAGCAGAAGCAAGCCTCGGAGGCAACTTCTTTTCTATCACAGGCTTTCTTCTTACAATTTTGAGATTACACGTATGTGTTTGTGAGGGCATGCCTGCGTGCGCGCACACACACACACACACACACACACACACACACACACACACACACACACACGCCATGGCATGAATGTGAAGGTCAGAAGACACTTTTCACAGATCAGTTCTCTCCCTCCACCAGGTGGGTTTCAGGGGATTGAACTCAGGTTGCCAGGCTTGGTGGCGAGTCCCTCTGCCTGCTGAGCCGTCTTACCAGCTTAGAAACATCTTTTCTAAACAGCTAATTTAATGCTCAAAATTCATAATGATGGAAACATCAAATTCTTAAATAATGGTAGGATCTGTAACTGCATGACACGGCCCAGATCGGAGCCCCTGGCCACAGGGAAGCACACTGACGTTGTTCTCTCTGGATTGTGCTCAAGCTGTTTCATCCACCATCACTTTCCTTGGTTTGATATTTTAAATAAGCCGGGAAGCCACCGCATGTCTCGGCTACTGCGCTTTTTGTGTCCTCTTGAGTTCTGCCCCTGAGCCGAGTCCCTCCGCTGCCTCGTTCTGCTCCTGGCCTCCTCCGAGACCCTCCACGAACAGTAGGGTTACTGGCACCCCACACGTGACTGCAGAAGTGGAAGAGGAAGTGGGACAAGCAGGGCGGGACAAGCTTCTACCAGCAGTGCAAGGGACAGCTATTTTGAAAATGGAGAATTAACTTCTGCTGCTAAGTTGTAAATTTTCAGAACAGGAGTGCTCGGTGCTCTCTCTCAGTATGACCTAATTAAAAAAAAAAAAAAAAAAAAAAAAAGAGGAAAGCCCGCTTGGCAGTGATAAAAAGGGAAGCAAGACAAGGGGCGGGTGTAATGTTGAAAAGTCAGTGAAGTGTGGTTAAATGCACCAGCGCCTTGCCGTGTCCTCACAGTCCACACACCTCTAGAAACAACCACACTGCGCTGTTTAAAAAGCTCGCCCTCTGGGGCTCACACTGGTGTTGTCAGAGGGTCTCCATCCCCAGGTACCATTTGCTGGTGGTGGAAGGGACCTGGAGTAGAGCAACTGATGTGACAGAGACAGAGACCGGCCAAGGCAACCATCCATGGACACCCACTCTTGCTCAGGCCCAACGTTCAGCTCCCAGCCCTGCACACAGGGTGAAGATTTGAACCAAACACTTCAAAACACCAACCATACGGAAACCGTGTATCTAAAACAATGCTTCATGCCTACCCATATGACAGACATTTAAAAAAATCAACAACTTGGAGGCTGGAATGAGAGCTGAGAGGTTAAGAGCACTTTCTGTTCTTGTAGAGGTCCTGGGTTCCATTCTCAGGGCCTCCTTGGTGGCTGACGACCACCGGTAACTCCACTTCCAGGGGATCTGATGGCCTCTTCTGGCACTGTATGTGTGTGGTGCACGTATGTATGTGAGGCACTCACACGTACACATAAATTAAATTTAAAAATAGGAAACGGACAACTCGAGGGGTGGGGTGACTAATCTGCCCTGTGTCTTAAGTTGAGAGTTCTGAGAATGGCTATGGGGACTGTCAGGAGGCCGGGGCACGTCTCAGTGAGCCACTTCTCCTCTGAGGTTGTGGGAGTGATTCATCACAAACAACAGAAACTCGTACACACTCAACGTGAGCTAGCGTCCCCTGCAGACAGTCTCCGTCACTGCTGAACGCTGCCGTAATGATGGCTCAGAGGGACAGCTGCTGATCTGATTAGAAGCTGGACCTCCTGGGGACCATGACAAGATGCTTGGTGGGGGGGCGGGGGCTGTCTGCAACCTTCCGTGTGGAACTGCCACCTGCACCAGGCAGCACGTGGTAGAACGGTGTGTCTATCACAACTGGCGTTACACATGGTGCCCAGGAACTGAGCTGGCAGCAACCCCCAGGAGCATCAGACTCAACCATCTCACTTCACAAGGAGCAGTGAGCACTAGTGAAGGGCGCAGCACTAGGGCCCCGGCTCTCCAGACCCCACTTCTGAGCAGCGTCCCAGTCGGCACAAGGTCCCTGAGACCCGGTGGACTCACATTGAACTCCTCGCGGAAGCGTTTGCAGTCATCTGCTGATCTCACACGGATCTCCTCCTCCAGTTGCTCCACTGGGATGGGGAAGTACTTCTTGGGACCTGACGGGGACCTGCTCAGCAGCATCACTCGCTGCTGCTCTGTAGGGTCAGGAGACACAGAGAAGCCACTTAGTCCCATTGCCCACGGGTGACTCATTCCTTAGACGGTCGGACAGCATTCCTGATGGATCTGTATAGTGGGAGGGGAGCAGTACTCTCAAATCGAGCACCCTGGGGCTAGCCCAGCCCTGAGCCACTGAATCAAACATCTGCTTCCCAACACACCCTATTTTCAGCAAGTGATGGCAGCATGCCTGTCCATCACAGACATTGCACTCGTGATCTTGCTCGCTAGCTCACCCTTCCTTCTAGCCTATGGTCCTACAAAAGGGTCACTGCAGCTCCATGCTTCAAGGTCCAGGTTTGGGACCAGAGAAGGGGAATCACAGGGCTCTGGGTCTAAGCTCAGAACGGATGGGAATCTGCCAGGATCTCTGTCTTGCAGCCTTCTCTTCTTGGCAACACGCAGGCTTCCTCAAATCCCATACCTTACAATGCAGAGAGACCAACTGTCTTTGAGGCAGGAGAGGAGGGCATTGCCAAGGAGAGGGTGGGCTGTGGGTTGAGGGGTTTGGACAAGTCACACACACACAAGCTCAGAATGAGGTGTAAGCAGTGTTAGGGATTGGCGTTTCTCTTCACAGGGAGAGAGCTGACATTGATAAAGTCAGTAGAATAAGCCAGCTGTCACCCTGTCCCATTTGCAGAGTTCACTGAGTCTATGCCACGGACTTTGCTCCAAGGCAGCCTTTGGCTTCAGCCAGGTGGGCTGGTAGAAGAAGCCTGTGGGCGTCTGTGCCCTGCCAGCCACACCCCTCCCTCTGCACTGGCTTCTGGGTTGTGCAGGAAAGGGAGCAGAGCAGGATGGAGCATGGAGGTGCACTGGGCCATATGATGGTCTGCTCAGGAGTGCAGGTCCCCCAAGTCCTGTAATGCTACAGCTCAGTGGAGTCCTCTGTTGCTCACATTCCCCCCAGCTCTGGGGGTTGCATTAGCCCCTTCACTACCTTGAGTGAGTTCTAAAGTTTCACTTGAGTTCTGATGACATGCATGTTACCTCCAGCCAGGCACAGCTCTGTAGGAAGTTAGGACAAAGCTGAAGCCACTGGTACAAACCAGGGTTTGGGGTTTTTAGTTGTCACACTGGGATTGTACCACAGATTTTGCATATGCTGGCTAAGTACTGTGCCACTGAGCTACAGCCCCAGATCCCTTGGTCGTTTGGAGCAAGATCTTGTTCTGTAGCTCAGGCTGGCCTTGAACCTGTGATGCTTCTGCCTCAGCAGGTGCCTCCAAATGCTGAGATTTCAAGCCTGTGCCACCCCCACTCAGCTAGAACCTGTGTGTCTAAAACCTTCACTGTGCCTCCCATTGAAACACAGAAAGAAAAACAAGCTTTTGTAAGCAGCATTTACAAGTCAGGACACAGCTGGAATCTCAGTTAGGCATGTCCCCTAACTGATGCTCCTTCAAAAAAGAGTGAGCAGCTTCGGCAGAGCAGTGGCCCTGCCAGCTCGATCCCGAGGTAGTACAGCGTCAACTGAACACTTCTCTTCACAAGTGAGAGCCTTATCACAGGGTGATTTCAAAGGCCTCAATGGGAAATGTTAGACAGCAAAGCCCTGCTAAGCTGACAGGATATGAGTGGTCTCTTTTTTTAAAAAAAAAAAAAAAAAAAAAAAAGGCAACCAAAACCCACAAACTGAAATGTCTCAGACATCCGCTCTCCTTTGCAGGGAAAATGACCTCTGACACCAAGTTCCGAAACATAGAGAAATTCTAAGTTACTAGGAAGCGGTAGCACCAACCCAGGAGGAGCTGGAGAAACAGGAAAGCTTACGGGACAGCCAGACAGGGCTGTGAACGCCCGTCCTTTTCAGTGTCAGTACTGAGACCCGGGGTACAATACCTTGCTCTTCTAGGATCCCGTTGGGCATCTTCTTGTCGTTGCTGCTGACCACGGCTTTCCTCTGCTTCCTGAACCTTAGAGGTATAAGATGTGTTAGGTCTCGGCACAGCAGGAACCCCCAAGCCCTGAGTGCGGTGATACCCACCAGGTAAGCCGGGAAAAACTCTTTCTGTTGCTCATGGCTGAGCCTTGTGCAGCTCAGGCCGGCCGGCTCGTGTCTGAGCTGTTTGGGCCCACACCCCCAGCCTCCAGCACACTCATTTCCTCATAGGAGATGGGTAGGGCACGTCAGCGTCTGGGGACACTCCTACCTGAAGTAGTAGGCTGCCAGGAGGAGCAGGAGGAGGAGCAGAGGCAGCAACAGCCAGGTGAGCAGCGGCTGGGAGGTACTGGGGTCCGGAGGGCCTGTGGGTGGGTGGATGGTAGAAGATAGAGGGCCCCCATCAGGATCCTGGGCAGGGTGAGGAAGGAGTCCCACAGCACATCACACGGTACAGTTTGCAAATGATCTCCCATCAGATTTTGGGACAGAGGAGTGTGATGGTGTGACTTGTCCGAGGTCCCTGATAAAGGGTGAACTTCCTGTACCCCAATGCAAGCTGCTAGTCAGCTATTTCTCTGAGCACCTCTGACCCAGCCCTTCTCCACAATGAGGAGGTGGAAGAAGGTGGATCCCCCTCAGGGATCCTGCCCCTCAGCCCAGTTGGGGCAGGAACACCAGGTATAAAAAGGGACAGGCTGGCCCAAAGGTTGGGTACAGTTCTTGAGGAACAGATACACTGTGGGCTGGCTTTTCAGGGTTCTGAACTCCCTGTCACAATGAGAGGAGTGCAGAGATCACTGGCCTTCAGGAATCACCCTTGCTAGTCCATCCTGTGCACCTACCAGGTCCACCTTCCTCAGAGAGCCATGTATCCCTGGCTTTCCCCCTTGGCTTTGGTCACCTTGTGATCATCACCTCACCCACCCTCTCAGCCTGTTAGGGTGCTCTCTTATCTCCACAAAGTTCCCACCCGAAGGACTCCATCAGAAGCCCGCTCCTCCAGTTAACCAGATTGGCTCTTCTCTTGAACTGGTCCAGAGGGCTCTGTTCTGGAGTTGAGGATCACATGCCGCCAGGACTAAGCATGTCCCCTATAGAAAGGCCCTGGAGGTCATTAGCTACATTTCCATCCTCTTGAGTTCCAGAAGCGCCAAATATTGTTCCCAAGCTGAGTGTGTGTTGGGGGGTTCACGTCCTTCCTCCCATGGGCCAGCCTAGTCTCTTGAAGCTCGGGGATCCAGGAAGGAGTTTGAAATCTGGTCATTGTCTCCCCACCCCTGTGCATGTAATCTAGAGGCTGTGACCCACAGCCTGCCACCTGTGGCCCTGCCTGTCCCAGAGGAACAAGGCCAGGTTTGTATTAGGCTTAATGGCTAGAAATATTTGTCCCTCCCTCCAGTCCGAACCAGCCCATTGCCCAGCTGGGTCCCTTCAGGAACACCCACGGCTTTCTGTCTGTGACTCCAGAGAGTGCTATACCTGGGCTAGGGCCTGGAGCAAGTTCTAGCCTGGGCCTCCTGAGAGCTGCCTGGGACTGAGGGGCAGAGCTGAGCCAGTGACAGGGAGTCCCACTGCTCAGGATACCCTGGTTCAACTCCGTCCACTGTGGGTCAAAGGCCATTAGAAAGCGTGGGTTGCCTCCTTCTTTTCCAAGAATGCTCACTATCTTTTCTCGGTGTGTCACCATGGTGAAACTGCCCACTTCTGCATTGCCCAGAGGTCAGCCTCTGGCTCAGCCTCTGCTCTGCAGGAGCCGTTACAAAACTGGCTGGCCTCGAGGTCCACTCTGTCATAGACAGAGTGGGCCTGTGGGCCCTGCCAATCCTCCCCCGGGCCTTGTCAAAGATTTGGGGGGCCAGCCTCCATGTCCATGTTCTTGGAGTACAGGCTGCGATAACAGACACGGGAATCCCACAAGGCATGGGCTGGATGACCCAAAGCATAGATAGGTTGTCGCACCAGGCAGAACAGGTGACTCAAATTGGTTTCTGTGACTTCGAATGATGTTTGTCCAGGAAGGCAGGAGGTTGGGACCAGAACTCCACAGACTTTCCACGGGCAGCAGGAAGATTCAAAGCCAGGACAGTTGGTATGGAACACAGGGAAGCATGCGGGGCTTGTTCTGGCTACAGGGTGTCAAGAGTCCATGGGAAGATGAGTCCAGACTAATTCTTGCCTCAAATATTGCAAAGGAAGAAACCCATACTTCATGTAAAAATTTTTGAAGTTGTTGGTCAGTATGAAGTTGTTGGTTAGATTTCAACTTAACTTTGATAAACAACATGGGTCAGAAAATAAACCCTTGTACATTCTAGGGCAGTGTCCCCTCTGCCCCAGTGGTGTTCCATCCAGGGTGGCATGAGGTCCTCCCAGAGGATATCCCATAGTCACATTCTGCTTTCTATTCACACTGACTCTGGGTCTCTCTAGATGGTTCAGCCTTTCCCCTAAAGTGCCATCGGGTTTCCCAACAGTATGTGAGTGAGCAAATGTGTGCTCACGTAGATTTTAGGCATAGGCACACCGGCAAGAGTATATCATCTGGTCCTGACCCTGGAAAGACAATGGTTTGTGTGTAAGGTGGGGCCTGGAGCTTTTCACTCTGGACACAGGTTCCCCCAGTGACTCATCTGCTGTTGAGAGGGACCCATGCAGAGGGGCATGGGCCAGCTGCAGGGAGCTCTTTCCAGACCCTGTGGAGTTCTGAACCAATCTGCAACAGATAGTACTCCTCCACTGAGGGGTATCCCACATCTCTAAAGGGTCCCCATGGGGAGGCAGAATTGGAGTAAAGCAGGAAGAGGAGGGAAGGAAGGACAGAGAGCATAGTGAGCAGTCATGCTCTGGGAAGCGACAACACAGCCCCTGGAGGACTGGACTGGAGAACTTTCTTGGTTCGAATCCACAAAGCTTCATGGGCCATAGGCCTGTGATAAAGTAGCGTGGACAGAGTGAACATGCCAACTGCTTTGTTTCCCTGACGTGAAGTTCTGAATGCATCTTCCTCTACATTTTCTCCCAAGAAGCTCCATTCATAAACATGCAGGTTTGGTAAATAAATAGACTCACTACTCCCTCTTGTCATCCAAGGTCGCACGGGTTGCAGGAAGTACTGTTATTTTATGAATTGTTCAGGAAGGAAAAACCCCAAACTACTGATTGTGCAGAATCACCCGCTTGATGACACATCCTAACACTAATGCTGTATGTATGAAGCAACCAGATGAAACATGCTCTGAACAGGTCCCCAGTTCACCTCTCTCATTGACCCTGGAGAGCTGCCACACTGGGCGAGCCTCTTCATTCTGTGTCCTGGCTGCTTGCAGTCCTGCACTTTGGATGGGCCCAGACTGCATGGGGATTTGAGGCTATTCCCCATGTGCATGCACGTGTGTCTGTCTTTGTGTGTTTGGACCACATGTGTGCAAGTGCTTGTATAGGCCAGAATAGGGTGTCTGATCTCTTGGAGCTGAAGTTTCAGTCAGTTGTAAAGGGCCATGTGGGTGCTGGGAACTGAACTTGGGTCCTCCGGAAGAGCAACAAGTGCTCTTAAACACTGAGCCCTCTCTCTGGCACCTACCTTGTACACTTTATCTCACCAAGGTTTCTGTATGGCATCTCCTAAAAGTGGACCTTGTGTCCACTACACACGTTATCAAACAACAATGGGAAATTTCAGATGGTCTCCCAAAGCATCTGACATCCATGCTCACCGGGGGTTGATGAGGGAGCCACTTTCTCCTGGACACTAATGATCCTTCCACTTCTAGTCAGGAAAAAACACAGTAACATTTTAGCTCGATTTTCTCTAATTTCCAGAGAGTTTGGCTCCTTTGCATGATGATTAAAATGGAATTAATTAGATACTCTGATTTTTCCCTGGCTGTGTTTGACATCTCCTGATATCTTCAGCTGTCAACGTGACACAGCCCAGAATCATCTGAAGGATTGCCTGATTCACATGGGTGCATGGTCATGTCAGTGGGGCATTTTATTCATTATCAGTTGACATAGGAGACCTCAGACCACTGTAGGTAGCACCATCCCTAAGTCGGGGGGGGTCTTGAGCATGGGCCAGTGAGTGAGCCTGTAAGCAGCGTTCCTTCTTGGTTTTTCTGGTTTAGTCCCTGTTAGAGCTCCTGCCTTGACTTCCCTTTATGATGGACCACGATCAGGATGTGACTCCATGGGGTGCTTTTGGTCATGGTGTTTATCACAGCAGTAGCAAAGCAAACCAGAACACCATCTATTTTCCTACTGTGCTCTTTTACATATTAATTTTCAGGACTCTTCCTGTATGTATTATGAATGATAACATTTCCTTACAATTTTAACATATTGATAATGAATTCTTTGTCTAAGAAAATGCGTCACGATGAATATTGAATTCATTTTGGCCAGTGATGAAAAGAAGCCATTTCCTGTTGTTCTGGCACATTTTGGCAACGTGCTAACCCTCAAGAGATACTTCCTACTTTTTCAGGGGCCAGATCTTTTAAAGAGCACTCGGGATACCCTCCCAAGTTTCAGGACAAAGGAGCTGTCGTGTAAGTTGAGGCCTACGTAGCTCCTGATAGTGGGACCACAGATGTTGTTAAGCATGCCGAGGCCTGGAAGAGACCTAACCAGAATTTGTTTCTGTTCTGGGTGCTGAGGTCATGTGATAGCCCTCGCTTCCTGAAAGTAACACTTCCTGCCCACGACAATGTTATGAACCAATAAATCTTGTTTTCAAACGAACCAGAAAGCCCTAGACGTGGACTGTGATGCCACCCTGAGGGAGAGTCAGGTACCACCTGTAGGGCTGTCATGGACTCTGACAATTCCTACCGCTACTGTGGGGAGATGCATGCTCTGTCCTCAGGGCTTCAAGATGTTCACAGGGACATGCTGACAATTTTCCAGGTGTCCCTCAATAGTCAGCTAATTCGTGCTGGTGAAGGAAGTTAGGGAAGTGGGTTGGAAGACTTCAGTGAATGTTTGTGAAGGTCACGGTCCTTGGGGCAGGCCTGGGATGTCCTAGGCTGCAGGACACTGTTGAGGACCTGCCTGTGGAAAGTCACCTGCAGAGAGGCATGCGCTGCCGTTTCTGGGTTGTTTTTTCTGTGGCTGAGGGTTTCCCCTGGGGTATCAGGGCAAGGAGGAAGACAGTTTAGCCAGAGTGCTCTCAGTCAGGTGCTCGCCTCCACTGGACAGCGGCACTTTCCTCCCCCGAGGGCGGTCACTGTCTCTGGAGGATATTATCTAGGGTCAGGAAACCCTGCAAAGCCCTTGAGTGGGGTGAAAGCTGACCCACGGGGATGGCACCAACTTCCACTGACTTTTTCTAAAAACTGTTTCTGTAAGGATATTGACAATCTGGGTCTTCCTTAAGCCTTGCAAGGACCAAGCACGATGCTGAATTCCATGTGTAAACTTGATCGGGGCATGGTTGCCAAGACATTTAGAGACAACCGTCATAGGGGAGTTTTGAATGAGATTAACACTGGAATCCATAGACTGAGTAAAGCAGATGGTCTGCCCCAGCGTGGATAGGCCTCACCCTATCAGGAATGGAGCAAGTATGTAGTGAGGGATGGGCATGAGGCAGGTGCAGAGACAGGGGCTAGCCTTTGGTACTGCAGGTTCATTTTGACTTTACCACCAAGGCACACTGCCAGGAGTCCCTGTCAACTAACTCTTCATCCTGATCTCACCCATCTGCCCCGAGCCTAGCTCCCCCTGTGTGCAGCACAAGCCATTAAACACACACACACACACACACACACACACACACACACACACACACACACACACACACTGAGGGAGTTGGGGATTGAAACAGCAGCTGAGTCCGGAGCTCGCTCCCTGTTGACCACAGACAGCCAAAGCCAATGCCGGGGAGTGCTGCTGTGTTCTGAAGACTGTCCAGCTTGCTTGGCTCTGGAATACTCACTGCACTGCCAACCAAGAGCCGGGGCTGCCACTACCTGGACCTCATGAGTTGGGGCAGGGAGTACAGAGGGGTTCAGAAAGTCCCTCCAGGTGGCTCAGCTCACAAGTGACTGAGATGGAATGGAACCCAGGCAGTGAGAGTTAAGAAGACCCACTCTTGTTTTTTTCTCTCCCTTTCTTTATCCTCTTCCTCACTTTGGCTTTACACAATATTTACTCATTTAATTGAGATGAATTTACATATTAGAAAACGCACCTGTTTTTAATGTATGGTGAATAAGCTCTGGCTGTGATAACACTTTTATTGCAGTATTTCTCTGTCTCCAGTAAGAACCCTCCTGTCCTCATCCTTGGTGCCGACGACTGCTCACTACTCTCCCTGCCCATGTTTTTCAGGTCCTGGATATTTCCTCTCAGTGGAGTCCTACCTTGGCCTACCTCATCTGGTCTCTGTGTCTACCTTGTGTCACTGGGAATGTCCCTGAGCTTTCTCCTTGATGTCACATGGACACCAGTATGCTTTTTCCTCCTCTTTGTCCTCTAAACTACAAAGTGAGGGGCTAGACTAACAAAACCCCCCATCCCTGCCCTGGAGTGTATCTGTCCTAACTTTCTCATGGGGACAAGGCAGCCCTGTCCATTCCAACTCCATCTCCTGGAAGTCACAACATACCCACAAATGCTCCTCATGCACCTCTAAAAATAATGAATTTTTTTTTTTTTTAAAAGAGAGAAACCTCACCACATACCAATACTACAGCATATTAGAACGGTAATTTCTTAGTCACCATTATTAGGCCTGTTGTGTGGCTATTTCCTCAAGGTTAAAACATATTCTCATGAGGCGGAGTTGGAAGCTCACAAAACGTTAAGAAAGCTGTAAGACCCATGAGGCCCTTTCCTGAGGTTTTACAAGCTATAGACAAATTGCCAGGGGTGCAGAGACTCTTCAGTGGCGCTGCCTACAAACTGCACAGGAAGCTGTAATGATGCAGCTTTTCGTGAGCTGTTACCCAGGCTGGAGTGGGTTTTCCAGTGAAGCAGCTGCCTCTGAGTCACACATGCTTCTGTATGGAACCCCAAGAAATTACCATGTCAGGGTAGACATGGGTGCAGTCATTTCTTCGGTCAATGATGGGTGTCCTCTCTTGGGTAAACAGATGTTTGTTCATGTGTCTTCAGGAAAAGTTACACAATAAACCATCAACCCAATATGCACATTTGCCCAACCCACTGGTCAGTGTTTGGTAACAGTTGGTCCTAACAAGGCTCTACAGTTAGACTTTTCAGAATTTATTGTTAAACTAATTAATTGTGAGTGTCTATGTGTAGAGGTCAGAGGGCAACCTGCAGGAGTCAGTTTTCTCCCTTCCACTGTGTGGGTGCCAGGGATGGAACTCAGGGTATCAGGCCTGACAGCAGGTGCTTTGCCCCTGGGTCATCTTGACGGCCCCTTTTGGATTTTCCCATTCTCTCGTTCTTCCACCAAGGCTGAGGGCCCCCTCAGCCAGGTGGGACAGCCTCCTTGAACACACTTAGATGGCTCTGGTCATAGGTACACACCCAGCTTCCTAGTTGGTAACACTGGAAGATTCACTGGACTCTCTTCCCCAGCAGTCCTGGGTACTCGGGCAGTGTGTGAGGCGGCTGGGGTCAGGGCAGGGGCCCTTACCTGCGGTTGTGCTGGTCCAATTGCTCTCTGCTGGGGTGGTGTCGTTGCCTTTACCAGCTCTGGCGAGTGACAAGCTAAAACTTGCCAATAGGAGTGGACAGAAGGGCTCCATGGCACACCTGCAAAGAGATGAGGACTTGAACAGAATGTTTCTGGGTAGCAGGCCCTGGACACGGCTGTCACTCAATAGGGAGGAAGAAGAAATAAGAGAGAAACTTATGATAGGTTTCAAGGAAACCAAGAGCTCTGCCTACTGACTTCACAGTCTCCTGTCTTCCGCACACTGTGGTGGTACAGTCACTGTCATCTGCAGGTTCAGCCAGAGGATACATGGCTCACAACTCCCACATTGCTGAGGGTGAACCAGTGTGGAGTGGGACCAGACCCCAGGTCTGTCCGTACTGCCAGCCAAGAGGCATCTTCATGAGTCACCTGGCACCCCAGATAGCACGTCCCCCAATACCGACTGCTCGCCCACTTCCCTTCCACAGCCATTCTCTGGCCAAGTTGTGTCCATGGTGGGTGTCCGATCTTGGGTAAATAGATGCCAGTGCCTTTCTGTGTGCTTCTTGGGCCCCTCACACTAGGCTGGCCAAATCCATTCCCTCCAGATGTGGCTCAGGAGATCCTGGCCAAGCAGCTTGAGGCCAGCTTCAGGGTCCTTCTCTACCCTCTTCCATCCAGTGGCTATATGCTCTCCCAGCCCATCTCAACATCCCCCTCCTGGCCTTGCCTCTGACTGTACTAACTTCCTACTCCACAGGGCCAGTTACAGCCTCAGAAAGGAGCTAAGTGTTTACTGGGTTGAATGGATGCAGGGGACAGTCCAATTGGCAAGGGGTTCAACACAGAGAAATCTCTTTCATACTAGGACCACCCCACAGGCAGTGACCTCAGATTCACACTTGGCTTCCCATTTTTCCCAGTCACCTCCAACCATCATTAGAGGTGACATTGATGGTGCCTACCCTGGAGTGTAGAAAACCTTGCTTGAGGACTCCTGACCAATGGAGGCAGGCAACGGCACATGCCCAGTGCAGATACGTAGTCCCTGTCCATGGAATCTCATCCACAGCTAGCCCGGAGGCTCTGTCCAATCCTTGCAGAGACAAATTTTGCTACTCAATGCCTCTGTGTGAGATGTGAAAGGACCAGACCTCAGAACTGAGGCCAGTAGACACTTGGTCCTCAGGCTGTTCCAATGGAACATTATAAACATGTTCCAATGTTTATAATCACTGAAGACATGGAAGGAGCATGGCAACAACACCTGGTGCTTCTCAGTAGGCAGCACCGCCAAGATGAAACAAGCCCCGGTACTTTGTAAAAACCATCCCAGAACAGTAAGTCAGCGGCCACCATCACACGGGGCCTCTCATCTTCCTGGTTCCCAAACGCACACGCACACTTATCAAGTGAGCCTCAGACACCAACAGCTTTGTGCTCGAGTGCACACCTGCTCTGGGCTGCTGCTTGCATGTGTGTCCTGTACACAGTAACCCTTGGATGGTGAGAGACTGGGCAAAGTTAGGCTGCAAGGTTATACAGCCCACGTCGGAGGTCAGGACTGCTGGGGACACACACCCTCAACTGGGTCCACACTGCCCAGGCTCTCCTTTGACAGGCAGCAGCTCCACACATATTGCCACACACTGCCTTCTCTCTGTCTGATCTGTTACTGAACACTGCCATGGTGTTTTACATACGCTGGAGGAAACTGCAGAGTAATTGATTGGGAATTATTAATTGCCTTAATCCAACTCCAGAGACATAGAATTCCTGGGTGAAACATTGTGCTTCATCCCAAGCATTAATAACCTTCCTCATCAAGCACTCAATGATCTAAGAGGAGGCTAGGGCAGCACCCTGGAGGAGGATGAAGCTCAATTCCTTTCCCTGATTATGGCAGTCTCGGAGTTCCCCAAGCTGAAATTCCTGATGGGACCAGTAGAGGGAGATAAACTGTGCAGACATCAAAACCTGTCCAGCCATCTGGTGCCTCTTTATTGTCCCACTTGTATTCTAAGGCGAGTGACAACCTGTCGGAGGATCCCTGGCCATCCACTCTCAAAAACTTGTGCAGGCTACTTAGTAAGCACAGACACGAATCTGTGCAGAGATAATGTGTGAAGGAGGAATTAAATCCATGCCGAACTCCAAGGATTTGTAGCTGACTAGTATTTGCTGCGTGCCTGCCAAGTGCTAAGCACAGGAGGCACGGAGCTTGTGCAGTCTGCAGAGCTGGAATGAACAAAGCAGTCTATTCCCAGAAAAGCAGACTTTATTTTTACTCTACTCAAAATCCACCCATCTATCAATTGGATTATAAAGCCATCTTTCTTATTCCATTGAATTCTTTTCCAGGACTTCCCACGGCAGAGTTCGAGTAACCTGCGAGGATCTGGACAGGCAAAGCTGAGCCAAGTCCTGTCTGTGACCAGGGAAGCCCCCGGAAGCTGGAAGGGGAGCACAAGGGCAGCCCCAGCCGCCCCTTAGAAGCTGCAGAGGCGGGGCCGTGCAACCAGGGTGTCAGTGGCAGTTCCCCAGAAATGAAGCACACAAGCAGAACCTTCAGCCAATGGGATGACACAGAGGCTTGGAGGAAGCTGTGCACGGCCCACTGTTACACAATCATTGTTTTAGCCCACAGGAGCTGCTTCCTAGGGAGAACTGAAGAGCAAGGGCGGGAAGCTTGGGGCTAAAGAATTGAGAAGGCTGTGGAACAACGTGTTAGCCAGTGACTTGCACCCTCAGGCTCACTTTCTAGTAACAACCCACGTTACTATACTCATAGGAGGGTCCAGTACTGGACACTGGAACTCTACATACCTGGAGAGTGATAGGTTTATAGACAACCAAGTGTGAAGACCACCATCTCCCTCTCATCTTCCTGGGGGACCATCTCCACACCAAGGGAACATGAATGAAGGCATGGGAGGTGCCATGATATCTTTCTCAGAACCACTGTTCCATTCCCAGTGTCCTTCACTTTGGCATACACATTACCCAGGGGTCTTAGCTAGGCAGGACAGTGAAGGTTCGGGGGGAAGGCTAAATTTGATCTGTGAAAAATCCCCACAGCAGAAAGTCCTTAGCTTCACATAGGAGGACTTCAAACACTTGAGTGACAATGGACAGGTGTTTCACTCTCATCTGTACAGATGATGTACACCCATGGGTGCCAGTCAGCTAAGGCTGGGCACCTTGCACCCGTGGGCTGCAGTTTGACGTAGGAAGCCCAGATCTGGGAAGGAAGGCACGAGCATTGTAAAATGATGGCTGGTGACATAAGCCACTCGTTTTGGAACACAGCAGAGTTGCCAGGCTTGGCTCTTTCTGCCTTTACCACACCTTATACAGACACCAAACCGAAGTGCTGAGGGCTTGGTTGTCTGTGTGTGTGATGCATGTGAGCATGGTGACTTGGGAAGCCATGTGAGGGTGTCAGATCCCCTGGAACTGGAGTTACGATCTCTTGTGATTTCTTTCCCTCAACTCCACGTGAGTTTGGGGAATCAAAATTGGGTCCTCTGCAAAAGGAGTGTGTGCTTTTATCCATGGAGACATCTCTCCAGTCCCAAGTATCTGTTTCGTATACCCGTCTTCCATAAAATCAGGACAAGGTGACTCACTCAGCAAGATAATTGTTTTTTAATGATCCAGGAAAAGACAAAAATTCAAGTAAAATAATACCTTTCAATGGCAAAAGAAACAAAACCCAGACCTTTCCTAACTTTTAGGTGTGAATATACTTACAGGGATGAAAGATTTAAACAATTATTTTTTTTAAAGCCATTCATTAAAATCTGCAGACACAGCATGTTTCAGGTGTATCCACGTGACCCTGCCTCTTTGAAGATGGCTTTGCTTATTAAAACAGAAAAGATGTTCACAGGGAGTCCTCAGCTCAGTGGGTGAAGGGTGGAACTTAATTGCTTTTGAGCAAAGGTAATTGAATGTCTAAATGCAAACATGGAAACATCTTTAGAAAGAGGTTGCCAAAGGGGCCCTCAGGTAGAGAAAAAAAAAAGCAAAAGCAAAAGCAGAAAAAAAAAATCAGGCAGGGAAGAGGGAAGAGGGAGAGAGACTTGGTGAGTGGTGGTGGGTGTCCCCGCCCCGGCTGTAGGTCACCTGGCAGATATCCTCCAGGGTTTGGGCAGGGAACTGGCTGTCTGAATAGGTAAGAGCTGACCTGCTGGAGGCAAGTATCATTCTGGGCTTGGAAAGATGCACAACATGTTGACAATCAGGTACTGATCACTAGGAAGGAGGGGAGAAGAGAGGTTAAAAAAAATGGAGAGAGGGAGGGGAGGAGGGAAGTGGGGGAGAGATAGACAGATAGAGATAGAGAGAAGGAGGAGGACAGGGAAGCGGGGAGAGATGGATGCAGATGAGTACCACCCGACTCAGCTTATTGGGAAGGACCTGTAAGACCTGTCAGCATGTCTGTTAGGGACCAATTTCAACTCCCTATGTGGTGCATGCTAATTTGCATAATTCCAATTATTCCCTGAGCCCTCTTGAAGATGGGTAAGAAGTGAAGAGTCTCTTCTGTCAGAATTCAGTCTCTTTCATCAAGACAACAAGACCAGGTCGTGGAAACCACAGGATCCCACTCAGTAGCACATTTTCACAGACCGTAAAACCATGTTTGGATTCATTGAATCAGCAAGCAGCAAGTGTCTGGTCAAGTCCAGTCAGGCACTGGTTGAGAGAACAGGGAGCTAACAGCATTTTCTCCATGGGGCCAAATGGGACACATGTAGCCAGACTCTCAGGGATACGTTTTGGTTTTTCCCATAGGGAATCAAAACAAAAAATAAAACCAAACTTCCCATCCTGAGAAGACAGGAAGACCCTGAAAATCTACAAGTGGTGATTGCATGAGTGCATAAAACTCATGGGTGGGAGTCACACAGAACAGTAAATGAGGGGTCACATAAGACCAGTGAATGAGGGTCACAAAAAATTATAACGAATAGGGGCTGCATAGGACCAGTGACTGGAAGTCACAGTCAACCCCTCTTTCATGAAAAGTTACATGGAAACAGAGGCAGGTAATTTGTTGGAATAACTTTTTGATCTTACTTAACCCAAATTTTCACTAGTGAATGGATAT